GAGCTGTCTGTGTAGACACGCTTGGAGAATAAAGTATTCCTCTCTGAGAAGAGAAGGGAAGGGATGGAAGCTGAGGCTTCACTGACCACTGGGAGCTGCAGGTTGGATGCCAGACGCGCCAAGGTTGGGGGTGGAGAAGGAAGCTCCTTCTAAAAGCTCCCTGCCAAGTCTCTCCAAGCAAAACCCAGCTCTTGGGGCTTATCATGGGCCCTGGGAATTTCAGCCAAGCTGTGTACTTTACATTAGCCTGTTGACAATTTTAGATGTTTCTTCTCAAACAAGCGTGGGCTATAGCATTTTTAGATAACCTGTGCTCAAAAACCCTGGGATTTATCTCACCGCTACAAAACAATTACTTCCCCCTAACACTCGGGCACACCAATTATTAATTCACGCTTGAAAACATGATGTGTGCCAGAGTCATCTATTCTTTTCCCATCATTGTGAATGGAGTCTTTGACTCAGTATCAACCACACAGGAAACAGCATAGGAGGAACAGTAACACGCCTGACTCAGATGGCAAAGCACCCGAAAGGATTTATGTTTAAGACGCAGCTCTGCTGGGGTCATGCACTAGTAGGAATGGAAAAGGCTTGTTAAAAACCACCTATCTTAACTTCAAACATACGGAGTCAAATTCAGAGCTAGCACCACCACCAACTGGCTTCTTGTCCTGTGCATTTCTTTTGTAACCCACAAGGCATCAGGTTTATGGAAAGCTAAGGAGATATTTTCAACTCTCTCACTTTTCTAAACACTGACCTTGTGCCAAGCCATGAAAGCAATGCTCTCACCCGGCTCTCCGGAGCAGTGTGATTCTGTCCCTGAGCCTACGACACGTGTAGGCGTTTGTGTCAAATGGTGGTGGGATTAGTGCAGTTCACACACTCGATAACGATCCCACCATGAAGGTTCACGTCTCATGCACCATGCCATATGGCTCTGCAGGCACAGCACAGCATGCTTAGCCTTACAGGTAAGTAATTAATTGAGGCGTGCAGCCCAGGGACCACCACTGTTTGCTCCTGTTTTCTTATAGCTGCAGCCCAGTACCTGAACCCCTCTGATACCTGAGGAATGCAGAGAAATTGCACCACCACGGCCACTCAGCTGTCCCCAGGGACTGGCTCTTCTCCTGTATGGAAAGGCAACTTTGGAAGTTAAATAGGCACGGATCAAAGGAAGAAGTCAACACACACACAATCATCTCTCGCCTTTTAGGTCTTTGTTGGACATGAAGTTGAGGAAGAAGATCTTTTCTCTTTACATTGCTTTCTCTGCCATCAAAACCACATTTCACCCTGGCCTTGCAGTGGGTTGCACTTGGGTCTCACTATAATTGAGCATGGACTACTGATTCAGGTTGCAGACAGTAATCAGTCCTTTTCTATCAACAGCTTTGTCATCGCTGTTTCCAAAATCACACACTTCTTCCTACTATAAAACACTGTTAAGATTATGAATTTTGTGGAAGTTAAAATTTTAAAACCAAATACAAATAATTATTTCAAACACAAGTAAAGACTTTGGTTTTAAAAGCAACACTGATGATGAAACAGTCCTGGAAATCTTCCACTGCATGGGATTATTTTAGAATTTGTACGAGGGAAAAAAAAAAACAATGAAGTGTCAGAATAAGAATGAATAATAATGGTTACATCCCCATGGATGTAACACATTTTAAAATGTGTTTTGTAAAGACTTAAAGAAACACCAAAAAGTTGCATCAGGGCTAACAATTACCAGTCTAAAGTGATATTTTTGTATAAACTAAAATGACTTACTATTTGGGCAAATTCCCAGCTGGCATATACTGTCATACCTGCAGTGCACAACGAGGCAGCTATAACAATTACACTAGTTGATTCTCTCATTGCCTCTACCAACTGATGTCTTTCAGTCCCCAGCCTTTAAAGTGAGGCAAGAGGAATAGAAATTCCTCAGTCAGTTCTGCATTTGCAATCCTTCTTCCAGAATTAAGACTCAAAATCCGTGCATTCAAATACATTAAAACCAATCCTTATGTTTTGTCCAGCAGTTATAACCAATTCCAACATTTTTTGCTCAGATCACAAATGCTGTTAAAGTTAGGGTCTACTCTGTGTAGCGCAGTGTTAAGAGATTCTTAGCGCGACTTTTATCATCCAGAGGAAAAAAAAATAATCCGAATTCTTCACAATGATGTTGTTTTGTATCGTATTGTTTTCTTTTGCTTTCTGTGTGTGGTGACAGCCAAGAGAGTGACATAAAAAAGGTACCTTAACTAGCAGATCTGCTTCCTGTGTGTCTTTGAGTCATATTCTCCAACTCTACAGGCAAAAACAAGTTTTTACAACTGTTAGCATTATAGCCAGTACAGCTCAAAGCACAAGTTGCAGCCTATTCTGGATAACATACATTGTCATCTAAGTCCCACTTACGAAATCACTGTCACTATCACTAGTGATAGCACAAGAACCAGAAAGCATGATTTGATTATTGGATTGTTTTCTGAGTTTTCAGAGCCTTTAGATAGGAAAAAATCACCTTCTGATTTGTGAAGCACCTGATAATATGCAGAATATTTATGGACAACAAAGAAATAGGAAAGCCATGCAAACATTTTTTTTACTATGGCCCAATTTCTAAGAAGAAAATGAATACACTTTGAAATTAACTCATCCATTTAAATGGGAGAAACAAAATACAGCAACAATGAAATATAAAAGAGTAGCTGCTATGCAGTTTGTTATCCCCTCTGCAAGTTTTGCTACACAGAAAAAAACAGCACTAATCAATGTTGCCATTTATTGACAATAAAACAGCAAAATCAGCTGTTGTTATTTTTGTGATCTCAAGCATTTCTTAAAAACTTACTTCAAAATCACTTTGCCAATCAGAAACATAACTAAAAGATACAATCCTTCCCCACAACTCCCCTTCCCCCTGCATCCTCTTCCCAACCTCTTTTAATTTTGGCTGCGAGTATTAAATATGAGCTTCACAGAGGGCAAAAGCAGAACTCTATTTTATCAGCTGCCTAGGATTTTCACCTAACCACCAGTGTATAGCTCAGATTTTGTCTGAGTGACTACCGCTTCCACAGAACAGCAACGCAAGTGCGTATAACACAATGCTTAGCTTACTTTAATACCTTTTCAAGCCCGTGCACAGAATTTCCACAGAACTGTTTTGCCAAGACTCGGGACAGGCAAACCCATAGGTGCAAACAGCATTACTGAGCTCGGGGTGCTGCTCACACCCTACAAATCGCTCCCCAGCTCCAGCGGCTGCAGTTCAGCCTTCTCATGCTGGCTGGAGTGCCCACGAGCGTAGGATTTAGAGCATCAGTCTCGGTTAACAACTCAAGTAAACTTCTATTTTTTGCCCTTTTTCTGACTCTGTCGTAAGGCGATTACAATTTTTTTACAAACACATTGCAAATAACATACTCTCCTGGCAACTGAAAAGTAAAAGATGAAGCAGCAGCCCTGTGTCAAATGCAGGGAGTCAGGAGATCTGGATACATTTCCTGGCTTTGCTTCAGACTTTGTGACTGACCTTGGCAAGACAGACAGAAGCAAATCTCACTGCCTTCTCCACGCAAGCAGTCTTGGAGCCGGCTACCCACAGAGAATGGCTCCGGTACGAGTAGGTACTGTCTGAGCATATACTCATGTGGATGTAGATGTACATACAGAAATACCAATCATTTGCACAAGAGGCAAGTATTCAAAATTCCAGTCATTGACACAGAGCACGGTGTTAGCTTGTGAGCAAGGAAGTAAGGTAAGATGCCATGCAAGTCTACTGGATTTCTCCTCCTGCAGGTCAGGTGCTGTGGGGCATTTTGTAGTCCTGATGATGAAGTAAGACAAGCAACTTATTACTGGGTAGCATTCGAAGGCTACCTTTCCTTGCTTATGTCTCTAAAAATGAGGAAGTATTACCTACATTGCAGGATGGATTTCAAGGCTAAGCTGGTAAATATTTATGAGAGACATAAACTTTGTCAGATAAACTATACTTTAGAGACAAAATGTTATCTCTAGGCTGCCAGATTCTCAGAGATGCCAAGTTTCTACAAACCCCACCAGATCTCTTTTTTTTTTTTTTCTTACTCATATTTTCTCTGTAAAGAAGAGAAATAGATGTGTTTCTATCCACCTATATACTGAATATACACATTACTTCTTTCTCATTTTTAATTCATAACTAGATCTACTCATGACTATACCGAGATCTTCTTTGTACACTTAAAAATGATTGTGCAGAGTAACTACTGGATGTACGAAGCATGTTTTGACAGCCCAGGCTTCCACCCTCCTCCACCAAATCAACCTAGCATCAAGCCGGTGTGCAAACGCCGCGCTGTAACGCTGCCGGGGCGCCTGACGGCTGCAGGTGAGATCTGCTAACAGCAGGCTCAGACCCCCCCAGGGGTGAGCTCCCTTCTTTATCACACGCCGTCTAGGCTGGCCAAGCCCAAGAAAAGAGAGGACGTGCTTTGGCTGAAGACCCGAGGACCGAACCCTGACCACCGCTGCCCAGCAGCCGCGTTTCTGGAGCGCACACGCCAGTGCTCCCGCTCGGGCTGTGCCCAAGGAGACGCTGCCATTTCTCCAGCCCCCCCTCGGCGGCTTCACCCCCTCCGCCTCACGGTGCTCCCCGACACCTCAGCTCCGCTCCCCGCCTCACGCCGTTTCTCCCCTCACACCTCCAGCCGCCCACCCCGCAGCTCCCCGAGGGCCCGTTTAGCAGACACCCCCCCGCCCTCCCAGGCCGCGCCGCCCCGGGGTTGCTCCGAAGGGCGGGCGGGCGAGCGGGGCTCCCGCTGACCGATCCCCCCAGGACGAGGATTGGGGGGGGGGGATCCCCTCACGACGAAGGGCCCGAGCGCCCGCCCCGCCCCGCCCCGCCGCGGGCCCTAGCAACAAGCCGCCGGCGCCGGGCTCGGCGGCGCGGCCGGGCGGGGGGGGGGGGGGCGGGCCCTTCCGGTTCATGTCGGAGCTGGGCTCGGCGCGGAGGAAGCCGGGCGGCCATCTTGGCTCGTCCGGGAGCGGCGGAGGGGCGGGGGGCAGGCAGGCGAGCGAGCGAGCGAACGGCAGGCGGGCACCCGGCTTCCCTGGCTCGGCGGCGGCTCTGCGGGGTGCCGGCCTTCTCAGAGCCTAGGGGCGGGCGGGTCGGGATGCGAGCGGCGGCCCGGTGAAGCGGGGCCGCGCGGCGGGGGAAAGGAGAGGGGAGCCCCCTCGGCGGCGGGCCTGCAGTAGCCGCCGTTCCCCGGCTGCAGGCGGAGAGAGGCCAGCGAGGGGAGCCCGGGCTGCGCGGCGCCCCGCTCCTCCCCGCCCGCCCCGCATTTCCACCCTCACCCCGGAGCCGCTCCCTCGCCGCCTCTCTCTCCCCCCCCCCCCCCCTTCCCCGGCTCCATCCCTCCCCGCTGGATGAGGCGCCCCCTTCCCCGCTGTTGACCCCCGCGGACCCCGGCCTGGCTGTAGGATGAGCCCGGAGGACTCGGAGGGGGCGAGGCCGCTCCGCTCCCTGAGGGGGATCTAGCTCGGGCGTGGGGCGCTGCCGGAGGGTGGGGGGGGGGGTGGGAGGGGGGCACCGAGGCGACGCCGCCCCCCGCCAGCCACCTCGTCCTTCATGGTGGCTCCCTGCGACCACCATCTCGGAGCAGAGTCGCAGCCCGGCCCGGGGGCCCGTGTGTGTGTGTGTGCGCGCCGCCGTCGCGGGCAGCGCGGCCGCCCGAGTGAAGTAAAATGTCCACTCGGACTCCATTGCCCACGGTGAACGAGCGCGACACCGAGAACGTGAGTACTGGCGGCCGCAGGGCGGGGGGTGTGGGGGGGGAACCGGCCCGCGCCCCCTCCCCCGGAGGCTCTGGGGGCGCCGATCCGGGGGTACCGGGCCACGGCCGGGCGGGGGGGGGGCATCGACCTGCGGAGGGCTGGCGTTAACAGCCACTTACCGCTCGTAATGTTGCCCAAATACCGATTCATTTTAAATTATTTTTCGCCCACGCCCCCCCCCCCCCCCCCCCGCCAGCACGATTCACCTATTTAGCAGCATTTGCGGGCATCCCTCCCCCAAACCCGGTGTCCCCTCTCTACCGCTTTATTCGGGTATCTCTCGGCGGCGGGGAGCGGGTTTGCTGTGTTGCTAACGGGGAAGAGAAGATCCGCGGTGGGGAGGGAGGGTCCTGGTGGGCTGCTGCCTTCTCCTAATAGGCAAACTTACTGCTTAAAGCAGCCGAATAAACCTTTGGTAAACAGATGGGAATAATTCAGCTTTGGTAGGGGTGGGCTGGGTGACCTAGATAATAGGCCTCTTCTCTGCTTAATTTGCAGGGTTCTCGATGATAATGACGCCGTTAGACTAGTCACCTGTTCAGATGACATTAAAAGGGTTTCTTTATTGGAATTATCTTCCAGATAAGGGAGGCTCTTCCTCCTTTCCCTTCAATCCCCCCTTTTCTTTTTGATTAACAAAGCCAGAGTTTAAGAATTGACACTTTATTTACAAGATTGAGCCAAACACTCTCTTAAAAATTGCACAGGTTGTATGCTAGAGGAAGAAAGGAAGGAAAAAAAAAAAAAAAAAGTAGTCCTACCACAAGAGCAGATAGCCACAAACGAAGCTCAGTAGGAGACTCCCTTTCAGCAGATAGGAACTGTATTTCTTTTAACTTAAAAGTTAGTTGATTTTGGTGTTTCCTATCTAACCATTTTTCTGCATAGGCTCTGTCATGTCCCCAAATGATAAACAGAAGGGAGTTGTCACTTGTTCTAGTCTAAAATGAGTCGATCGATGAACTTTGTATTCAGCTTTCTGTAAAGGCTATCTGATATTCTTCAGAAGACAGATGCTAAGCTTGACAGAAGAGGCTTTTTTTGCAAGGGCTTCTTACATTTTGGACTGGCATAAAAAGTGGAAACTTTGGTTAAAGATCAGGAAAGACTGTTGGATTGTTCCAGACCATAAATAGTCCAAGAAAAGTGATGGTAGCCCCATTGTTTAAAACAAGACCAGACAAAGCATTAGAAAACATGCTGCATGGAACAATTACTGCATTACTAGGGATTTAGATTTTATTAGCATAATAGGCACTTCTAACTTCTGTGATCTTTATTTGTTTTAGCGCTACATGCAACCTGCAGGCTAAAGGCTGTATTGAGCAAAAAGCCAACTAAGCATATTTGGTTGTAAAATCTCAATGAGCTTCCTGCCTTGTGGAAGAAAATAATTAAAATATTATGCGGCCCTTCCTATGCCATGGGGAGAGTTGAAATTGTAGCATACTCTACAAAATACTACACAAAGTTTATTTGGGTAAATGTTTTAGTATATAATCAAACCTGACTGAGGCTCCATATATATGTGTGGAAGCCACCCAGGAAATTGTTTTAGAAAGTGTTCAGATCAGGTTCTCTAGTGTAATTAATTCAAACTCTATTATGGATAACTTAACGGTGGAAAGACTTAGTATGTGCTTGAGGAAATACATTATTCACAAGCTGCATGTTCTATCACTTGAAGCTAGATTTTTACATGTCCTCCACTTAAGGCACCTTGTTCTCACTTCAGAATACTGGTCTAACACTTCTCTTTAGTAATCTTCATGATGTAGCATACATGGATTGTCCTGCTTGCAGATGAATTGCCTTAGGTTTAGATTAAGGCATATTTTTCAATTTCTGTAATCTGGGCTGGTGACCACAGAAATACCTGTAGGTAGTGATATCAACAGGGAGTGATTAATCTGGGTGCTTGCCAAATCCATTGAACCAACTCCCCAGTACAGTGCCATATCCCTCGAGAAGCCGTCTTTGGTCTTTTGACCATCAGCTAACTAGACATTCACCAAAATGCATTCTCTTCAGCCTTGCTTAAAACTAAATTTAAATCTGACATGTAGTCTGTTTGAATTACCCCTTCAGCTGTGAATGCCAGGTCTCAAATGTGATGGTTTTGATACTTTAACTAACTGTTCTTTAACCCCAAAGCTGGGTGTATTGTGTTGGCAGGTAAACTGAGCCCTTGATTGTCTTTCACCTAATAGAAGTCTAATCAGTTAATATTCATAGGACTCTTTGAAGCTCAGGTGGGAAGAGGTGCCAAGGTATTCAGCTAGCCTTTGGGCCATGGTTGTGGACCCTCTTAATGCCTTCTCTCTGCTTGGAAGGTTACCACTGCTGACAAAGGCTTGGCTGGTGTTGAATCTGGTTGAAGCGTGCTGATCATAGCTTATCCATGCCTATACTTGCAGTTTTGAAAATGAAGTTAGCCTCCAGAATGACGGTGAGCGTAAATTATCATTGTCTGTGCTTGCAGTTAACCACGTTCAGCGGTTGGCAACTCCTGTTGAATAGACAAGGTCTAATTGTCAGTACTTGATTTTTATTTTTTTTTTTTAAGGCAGTGTATACCACTTCTTATCGAGACATGTACTGCTGAAGTGGAAATACTGTCACAGTGACTTTCCCCCAAAGCCACTCACAGCTATCAAGCCTTTAGTGCCTTTGAGATCAAAGAATTTGGCTCCGAGTCACCTGGTTTTGAGAGGAAAGGCATCCCAGATGATCTGTGATCATAGGAACTTCACACTTGGACAGTTGGAAGCTGGCTGTTGGCCTGCGATGAGCTGGCTTCTCACCGCAAAGGTAGAGCAGCTTCTCTCTGGCCGTGTCTTGTGCAGCAATGGCTGCCAGCTGCTTAGGGGACAGAAGTGAATGAGAGGATCAGATCTTTTCTGTCTTCTTCAGAATTATGTCCTGCATGTGGGAGAAAAAGCAACAGAGGCAGCAGAGAATGCCTTCATCCAAAACTGGGAGACAAGGTAGATGCAGAAGAAGGACCTCTAGGTGACAGAAGAATGAGTAAACCTGTTTTACTAGTGATGAGGAGAAAGGGAGAGAAGATGGAGGAACAAAGAGTGCGGAAGCACATTGGGAAAGGAAGATAGATGGTGGAAAACAGAAGAGGAAGCACAGAAGAATGTGCATATGGCAGGATGGAGGACAACCAGTGACAAATAGAAGAAGGAACAAGATTGTCGAGAGTAGGACAAATATTAATCCAAAAAAATTCCCAAAGAGTGGGAACATGATAGCGAACTGTAGATAGAAACAAGGAAATTTGGGTGGTATGGAGATTGGTAGATTTTTTTTTTAAGAGCATGAAATAGAAAAGAAAAATCTTAGACTAAAGAGTTTAATTTGAACCTCTGTGTTCATTGCACAGCTGTGGATTTTTTTGGGGAAAAAAGGTAACTGTTTTGAATATGCTGGTACTGCAGGCCAATCTGAATTAAACATTTAAGTAATTTGAGGAAAAGCGAGACTAAAATATACTCTTATCTCCATGACTGTGCCTAATGTGAAAAATTTGCTGTTGAAAAATGCCAGTGTGATGGCAACTGTGCTTGTACAAGCCTATGCAAAAGGTTTCTGTGTAGCAAAAGTATCTAATTTATTTTTTTTTTATTTAAAAAGGCTTAGTAAAGTCAAGGTTAGGTTTAAAAATTTACTTTTAAGATACTGTGAAGGTTAGTGCAGTGCATCTTGGTTTATTACCAATTAGCTGTGAAATGCATTAGAGCATTTGCAGGCAAATATGCAAGCTCACATTATTCTATATATTATTTATCAGTCTTCTCCTATTACAAATAGATCTGTAATCAGAATGCTTTCTTCTGTAGCATGAAATCCTGGTGGGTTTTGTTGGTGTGTTTTTTTTGTTTTTTTTGGTTTTTTTTGGTTGATTGTTTTTTTAATAAAGAAGGGGCTGAGGAGGAAAGCATGCCTGTGGCCAAGAGTTGTGGTAGATTGTCTTCTACAGGGACTATCTACATTCTTCCATATTTTTCACCAGTTGTCATAAACGTTCTGGTTTGAATTAAATTAGGTGAAGGTGGCAAAATAACTAGAAATAAAATATGTTTTAGGAATTCAGCTGGGAGGTCTTTTTTAATTCCAGACTGTCACAGAGCAGGAAAATGCTTTTTGTTCATTTCATACTGCCTGGGATGCCTGATAGCTTGTGTGGCATTGTGAGTCCCTGACTGCTCGTATTTTCACATTTTTGTAGTGAGAAGTTTAATTCTTCAGTTCTGCTAAACAGCCTGTGCTGTGTTGTTTAATCATTTGGCTCCAACTGATAAGAGGCTGCTGGGGGTGTCAGCCTCTGCTGCCTCTTCCCACCTGCGGTCTATGCCGGCACTAATTACTGCGGGGCTGTATGACGAGTCTGGTCAGCTCTGATCTGACTGAAATGAACCCTTAAGAAAAGTGGGTTTATCCCCATTGTGTATGGGTGCAAATACTGACACGGAGGAGAGGGTGGGAATGTCCAGTTCAGCTGGGGAAGGCCAGAAATGCTTCTTACTATTTTTGTTTTGGTTTGATTTAAGCTAGTCATAGCACAGCACCCTAGGGCTAAGGTAACTTGAGTTGTGCCACAACTAGAGAGATATTTAACTGCAGTGGTGCACCTTTCATGAATTGTGGTGTTATGCTCATGGAAGCAAACTTTTAAAATATTTTTTTACATTATTTCAGTAACTCAGAAAAATGAAGCTACAGGTCCTTACTCCAGAAGTTGTTAAAAAGTCAGACTTAGTTCATGTATTTTATTAGCACCACTGAATGGGACTTAAATTGTTGCTTAAGAAGTAGCAGTCTGAAAAAGAGAACACAAGTACAGAAACTACTGAAAGAAAATAAGAGGAAATACAGGTTTTAGCACACTAAACTTTGTAGACCTCTTCCTAGGTTTTCTTATCCACTCGCCTAATATCCATACCTGCTCATTCTCCATTTTAGTTCTAGTCAAAAGACATACTCATGTTGATGTAAGTGGACAATTCCTGTTGACTACATGTCTCAGGTGATTCAAGTCAAAGGAATTCTAAGAGTGGAGGCATTTGTCTCTCCAGATCTCCATTTCATTTGATATAAGTAGCGTGTGTCTGCAGCTTCCTCTTCTTGGTGAGGTTAATGCTGCCTCATGGATGTCGGCCAGAACAAAAATGGAGGTCACTTTTTTTTAGGCTCATGGCATATCAAGGTTGGCTCTGCTTATTGTGGAGATCATTTACCACTAAAAAACTGTAGGATGCATGATGAATAGATGCTTACTGCTCTTAAAACATGAAACTGAAAGGTACTAAGTACACCTGTGGTAACACTCCAGTCAGGCTCCTGGATGAAACCCTTGGGAAGAATTCTTGGCCCATAAAGCAGCGACTTCTTGAGCTCTCTGTGTGTATATATACATATAAACAAAAATTAACTTTCAAATAAAATTTGTTCCTGCAGGGTTAAAGCCTAAACTAAGTTTTCTATCTGCAAGCTCAATGTGGTCTTTGAAAACCAACTGTGAGGTTTTTTTTTTGTTTAACATGTAATTACTGACAGTGATGATTCTGGAAACAACTTAGTTGGCAGTATTGTTGATGAAGAATAGAATATGGTTGGCTCTTCAGCTATTATTCCCCAGGCTGATGTCAATAAATATCCATTTTAATCAGCAGTAAAGAAACTTTGGCTGGAAAGATATGATGAATGTCAGATCTTGATAATGTGAAGCAACAAAAGAGCTTTTAAAAAGCTTTTCTAACCGGCACCAGACTTATCTTTTTGATTATATAAGCAGGATTTCTTCACTGTTGTGTTGTTCAGTGCTAATCATGGAATTACAGATTCACTCTCTTTCATATGCTGTATAGAGTATGAATGAACCAAATGGTATCAAATACATGGGCAGAGGCCATACCATTTATACATGGGAAGAACTCCTGGGCCAGAGCCTGCATGCCTGCGGGGACCATCCTTCCTTCACCGAAGGCTGTTGGTGCTCTCCTGCCCTGGTCTTCAGGGCAGCGGTGCAGTTGTCACTACTAGCTCTTCCTACGGCTGCTTTGTGGCCAGAATTGTGAGTGTGCAGTGTTGCTTTGGGTAGCAGTGCTCCCTCTGCCTAGTGAGTCTTCTGTATGTCAGTCCATGCTGTCCACCTCCATCAAGCTGCCCAGTGTAGGGAGTTGCATTGCTGTGCTTGGTTAGAGCTGTAGCTGCCTTGTCCTGTTACTCCTGTTTGTTTTATTGGTTTTTTTTTTTTTTGGTTGGGTTTTTTTTCTTTATTTCACCCTCCCTGCTGAGGTTAGGGAAAATTAGGAATGTGTGTCAAGAGGTATAGCCTCTGTGTGCTAAGGACTGTATTTACTCTTCAGGTTCTCCCTTTAAACTGGTTGTTTGACAAATATGACCTGATTAAACTAGCCACTTGCTTTTATGAAGTCTCACACCAGTTAAATGAATACTATGTTAGGCTGAGAATTGCACAGTGAATTCTTCCCCCTTTGACAAGGAAAGCATCCAAATTAGTGTTTTCTCTCCTTTACCAGCTATAATGTAGTTCTAGAAGGTCTGTTTGTCTCCCTTGCTGAATTCTGACCCTCTCAGTTGTTCCACTCGATCACAGCATCCATAATGGTAGGGCTGTAGCACACTTCAGTGAATAAATCTGCCTTCATGGATTGATAACTTTAATACCACATTGGATAGGATTTTCCTTTGTAGGACAGCGTTTAAAATTTCATGAGATGGAAGCCATGACTGTTCACCCTTAAGATTGATTATGTAGCAAGCTGGTCTAAAAGCTGCCTTTTAATTACCTGTGCTGGAACCAAAGAATTGGTTATGCAGACGTCGGCACGGGCATACCAAGTCTGACAATCGACCTTGCTCCATGTCCTGATTTGTGCCCTGGTCAGTGGTGGGTGGAAAGTAAAATCAGGACAAATATAGGACATCTTTACCTGATGTCTTCCTGTTTTATAACATAGGAAAATAATGTAATATTTTATAATATATGATGACTTAGGGATTCCCAGAGCAGTAACTGGTATGTAGACAATTGTGGCTGAGTGTTTGCTGTGACACCTCTTGGTGGTTGCCAGAAATGTAAGTCTGTGTTTTGACTTTCCAGTAGAATTCCTTCGTCAGCAGTCGCAGGATGCCCTGCTGTGCTGTTTCACAGATATATCTGCACAATAAGACGCTACCTCTGTGAATATCCTTAGGGCTAACCTTTTTTCCCTGAGTAGTACTCAGCAGTCTGTATGTTCTTAAAGATGGTAATGATAAATGGAAAATAAAATACAAAACATTGTTACGAAGGGCTGTGGTGAAATTTGTCTTCACATGTTTCATTTAAAATATTTTTGTGTTTTAAAAACTATGATATGTTTCCTCTAAGTGTTTCTATAAATAGGAGTGCTGGTGTGGAGTGTGCAGCCAAAAATTACCATGTATTTGTATGTTGTGTGCCCAAGTTAGGGTAATGAAGCAATTTAATGTCTCAAATATTTATCATGCCCTGGAATGTTTAGATTATTAACATAGTAAGGCATAGGCTTTAAGTACAATTTTTTCTTATTATAATTAAAAATGCTGAATCAAATGAGGCTATTGTGATTGCTGCTAGTCTGACAGCTTTCCAGGAAATTCTATAATATCACTTTGTAGTATTTCATACAAAGATGAGGTAAGAGCTAAGGTAATAAACATTTCTAGAGACTTCTGTAAGATTACATTTTATTAGTTCATTTCGCTGATGAGATGGTAGTTTTCACTATTGTATGAAATAAATGCTTTAAAAAAAAAATGTTGATACCGTTTGTCCTCCTTGTTTTAGAAAGAAAGCTTCCTATTTACTGTAAATAAACATGGATTTTTGCAAGTCTTGGGCATTCTGATTTCTTAGTGTTTTTCAGCTCTTCAAATGGATATCAGATTCTGTCTCTTCCAGGTTACTCTCAGCTGTTGGCAACTTCTTAAGCAGTATAAGAACTTTAATACTAGTCATCCTCTGCCTTGTGTGTTCCTAATGCTCTGAATATTAAGATATCTCTAATCATACAGATGCTGGATAAAGCTAACATCTACCAAAAAGATTTCAGTTATCGGCACCTTCATACTTCATTTGCTTTTTACTTTATTTTCTTTTCTTTCTCTTCATGCTAATCATTATCTGGCTATGAAAGGATGTCGGCTCATCACTGGGGGAAGGCTTTTGCGAAAAGGTGGGTTTTGTGTTATGTTCCAAATATAGTTGGTCTTAGGCTCAGTCTCTCACTCACAGTAAGGTCTCTCACAAATAGAGATCTTTTACTCCTGGGTTGAGTAATACCAGGGTGGGGCTGGGGGGGAGGAGGAGAATGCTTTTTTTTTTTTTTTTTTTTTTTATGAGAGAAGTTGTTTTCTTGGCTCGAAAATGAATAGGTTTTTTAGGGAACCCTCCTACTCTGTGCAGAAACCCCTCAAACCTTTAAAGTATTTAAACGATTTTGAAATGGAACCTGATGCATGTCAAGATATGGAAGGAAGTGTCATGAGTGGATTTCAGGAGACGGTGTTCTTGCTTCGGTTCCCCATCTGCAGTATAATGGTCTGTCTTTGCGTGAAGACAGGTATTTTGTGAATCCCTCAGCAATGGTGAGTGTCATGAATGAGTGTTACCCTTGCACAGAACGCATGTCCAGGAGATATATCTCACCTACCACAGTGTATGGAAACTTACTACAAATAAGCACATCCTTGTTTTAAATCTTACGTTTTTAAGACAAACCCCCTTTCTTACTGAAGCCACATGAATGTGGACCTAGGAAAGAAGCTTGAAATTTAACAGAATCTTTGGGGCTCGGGAGGTAAGGGAGGAAAAATCTGCCAAGTTGAAGATCTGCTTGGGAAAAGACAAATGACCTGCATCTCAGTTGAGTGAGCAGAGGATGCTGTTACTACTTCTGCGGGCTGAGGTTGGAGCTGTTAATCTGTTTGAGGAAACTACCCTGGGAAGTAGCTGAGTACAGCCAAAGGCTATACAAGCCAGTGTGTGACTTGAACTTTTCCTGGACCATCTATATTTTTGCTTTTTGCCTACACCATTTGGCTTCCCATCTACCTATCATGGCTTCTTGAAAATTATTTGGGTGGGAGAAACACTTTTACTCAGTTTTGAGTTTAATGCTTTTTAGTACTGTATGCTACCAAGCCCTCTTCTTCCTTCATTTCCATAAGCAAAAGAAAATCCATGTTGAAACTGGGAAGCTGCTTTCCGCAGTTGATAGAAAGCTTGTTCAATATAATAATCTTGTATTTGACAGAGGAAGGACTTGCTGAAAGATTTACTTATGTGAAGTAAAATAAAGTCCAAATCAGATACAGTTGAAAATAGACAGATTTCTACAGAGTGAAACATGACTATGTGCAAGTCAGTTGGAGAGAACTGAACTGCTTAGGAACACACAGCTTGATACTCAAAAAGTACAGCTGAAAAAGGTCATATTCTTGAAAAGAAATAATTCGGGTTAGGGTGGTAATGCAAACCTCCATACAAGGAGATTGTGTTAAATTTATCAACTCTAGTCCAAATAAGTGCACAGCTGTTAATTCTTCCCTTTAAGTGCAAAGCTAGAAAGCGTGAAAAAAATGATAGGACACAAGAAGTCATTCCTCAACAGGACAGTGAAGCTCTCAAGATGTATTAACTGGGGTGGTTTACTATGTGGAATAGAATTTCTTAGTATAACAGAATCTGTCTTTTTCCTAATATTGTTTATCTAAACAAGTAGGATATGAGTAAGATGAGTTCTGAATAACCCAGGTCCTCTGGTTTGGTAATACATGGTGCCTGATGCCTACATCTCAACTACCATATAAGCTAGCTCAGGTGTAACACCTCTTACTGCTTCAAGCACAAAACAGTGCAGATGTGGATACTCTTGTTTTCAGAGTCAGCTGTGTGGTTCAGAAGTCTGCCTGTTGAATCTGTCTGCTAGAGAGCCTAAGCTAATAAGCCATGCTTGGAGGCAGGCTGGCTCTTGCTGAAGCCAGCTTGTGTGCCTGTGTCATGTGCCCAGATGAGAAAGGGCAATAATCTAAATAGTTCTGAGATGCTTCTTCTTCTGAGGTAGGTTATCATCTTGTTGTAGAGCAGCATAAGTAGTACAGCTGTATTCCTGGGATGCTGTACTTGAAGTGAGCCTTCCTCTAATATATCCAAGAAATAGCTTTGTGACCCTGTACAGAACATCCGTCCCTGATTGCTGGGGGTAGCAATGTAAGAGGATGTTAGCATCTAGCATCAGCAGTTGCTTTTTTTCTAGCTAGTGTGAATAATTTGACACTAGAAGGTACCAAAGGAGCTGACAGAGAAGTTCTCTATATTGTGTGCTGCAAGGTTTGTTAGAAGTCAAAGTTTAGGGAAGTGTAGAGGATTGGCACTGCTGTGCTAGTGCATACAGGGGTAACTGAGATGGCCTGAACAACCAGCACCAGCCTGGCATTAAGGGTATGCAAAATAGTGAAATTGTTGATGCAGGATTTCACCGGCTTTACTATTTCCTTCAGCTGGGTGACTGGACTTGTCCTTCCTCTCCTTGAGAATTATTGATTGATAAACACTTAGTCAGTTGTTATAGGTCTCTATATTATTGAAAACAATGAATTGTTATCAAGCATTGGATTTTTACTGGATCTCATTATGGGTGTGCTTCTTGTTCCTGCGCCATTTATTAGTGTTTTGGAAGAAATGTATACTACTGCTCCTGAAAATGATTGCTAGAGTATTGAATAGGGCAGGATGTGCCAATCATCAGGAACATGTAATAACCTGTATGTAAGAAAACTCTGTATTTCACTTCAGCCAAATGTGAAATCATGCACGTAAGGAATGAGGAATGAAGGTCATAATGTGTGGTAAAGGAATGGGAAGCAATAATTCTGAAAAAGAGCTTGGGTGATCAGGTAGAGATGGTCTTCTGCCAGGAAGGCTAGTTCTGTCCACGTAAAATCAGTGGAGTATTGAGCAGAAGATGCAGTCTCTGTGTACTGTACCTACTGTTGGTATGGCTTGTGCAGTTCTAGCATGAGCCCCATAAGAAGATGTTGGAAAAGTAGGAGTGAGTTCTGAAAAGAACTACAGGAAATGTTTCCTTGTCTTTAATCGTTCTTACAGCAGCCTGTTTAGGGATATATACACACACACATATATAAAAAACTTACTAAAGTGGAGGGATAATGTGATCGTAGAAATTAAGTACCTGTATGGGAAGTACAGATCTGGTGACAATGCAGTAGCCAGGCAGTAAGGAGAAGCTAAAGCCGGATTGATGCTAAAACATTATATGCACCACAGTGTGTGTCTTTTTTTTTTTTTTTTAATAGTAGCTATTGAAACGATTTTCTAAGAGTTGTCGTAGCCTTCTATCAGTATTTCTTAAATGAAATGAATGTGTTTTTAAAAATAATTTGGTCACAGCTGTTGCACTCAAATTAACAAACCAAGGAATTTAAGATGCCAGAGTATACGGTCACAAGGTTACATCAGGTTATTAAAAAGAGTGTGAAACTTGCCAAGTGTCATGCAAGCATGGATTTGTTCATTTGTGCCTGTACCATGGTTGTTAGCTCATGAGTTATGATCTCATATCCTTGTGCTGCAGTGATTTTCAGATTGAGTGTTGCTGTATGCCAGATTTTTGGTTGTCCCCACTGGATTTCAGCACGAGTAGTAGTAGTAGAAAAGGAAGAATTGGGATGACTGCAAATTTAATGTCATTTTCCGTGTAGCCAGACATTTGTTCCACATTTGCAGACTACTGAGCTTTTCTAACTAATATTTTAATTAGTGAAGTTGATGTATGGATCTCAACCATAAATTGAGAACTAAGGGACGTGTGGGAGGGGACCTGCTCTTTCATAAGCAAGCTGTCAGGAAATGAAAAAATACTTTACTGTTATCGTAAACATGTGATCCAATGAATAAAGATTATTATAGGCATGATATATACCTATTCATTTTTACAATTAATAGCTGTTCAGGGAAACTGAGTGAAAGGGCTTTAACAAATTGCAGACAGCATCTCAGATCTCTGTAGCTGGTACTCAGCCTATTATATCTGAGGTTCCTATACATTTGGTAAAATTTCTTCCATTGTTCTCCAGATCATCCTGAGTATTTTCAGTCATGAGGTTTTATAGGAGCAGGAGTCTAGTACAAGAGAAATAGAAATAAAAAAAAAAACTTTGCCAGTAGTATTAAACTGTCCAGTGAGGGTGAACAGTTTACTGTGTACTTTTGGAAAAGCTTTGGGTTAGGCACAGTAATGCAAAGTGGAAATAATATCAAGAACCTCTGTGTACCATGACTGATTCGGCAATCCACGTAAGTTACTTAAGAATGTTCAACTGTTGTTGCAGTTCAGGTGATGTTCCACTTGGCCTTCACCAGGTGATGAAATGGATATTGTGTTAGGAACTGGGAACCTCTTTATTGTCCCCATCAGAACAAAGTTCGGCATGAATCTGAAGTTTGAGTTGGATCCTTTGAAGGTTTTTCCAGAGGCATTGCTAATGTTTTTGAATGTTGTATGCTTCTTGTCATTGATGTGTTTTGTCTTTATTTCTCAGCCTTACCTGTGTATGTTTTTATTGCAGCACACGTCCCATGGAGACGGACGGCAGGAAGTTTCCTCTCGAACTGGGCGCTCTGGAGCTCGCTGCAGGAACTCTATAGCTTCCTGCGCAGATGAGCAGCCGCATATTGGAAATTACAGACTCCTTAAAACGATTGGAAAGGGGAATTTTGCAAAAGTAAAACTGGCAAGGCACATCTTGACTGGCAGAGAGGTAAAGTGGTATGGGTGTAAACAGCAGTGAATTGCAGTCGGTGCAGAGATTTTGTTAAAAGAGCATCATCTAAGTCTGTGAACACTTAGCATATTTTACTAGAGATACTGCCACTGATGTAGAATAAAATAGAAATGGAAAACTATTTTCTTAGTAATGATTACAAAACAATTTCTCTTAAAAATGGTCTGTTAAATTTGTGTTTTTGACGAGTCCCTGTTCAACTGACTTGTGTTCAAATGTGGTACTAGAATTCTCTGCTAAATCCTCCATTCTCAAAAAAGGGTTCAATATACAGCAATTAAATAAGCTTGCTGGAAAAACTGCCCCTTGGTGTCTCTATAATGCACAGTGCAGGGCTGTACTGGGGGGAAGTCATGAATGAGAACTAATATATCTTCTTGATTATGGTCTGAGTAGTGCAAGTGCAGTATTTTCTTGCCAAAGCAACATATTTCCCAGGAGTTCTGCTAGTGTCTGCAGTGCTGGGCAGCCTTGGGAAGATACTCCGGTTTGTTCAGAGCCGGTTTATGTGTCTTGCTCTATGCTGTGTGGTGTAGACAAGCTTTTTCTTGTATGTCTTCATAGTGTCTAACTCAGCTCCATAATTAGTTTCTGCATGCCATTGCAATGTAATTAGTAACTTGTACTCGATGATTCTGACTTGGTGAGCTATAGTCCTGTTGCCTTGTTACAAGAAGGTGTTGCTTGGTGCTGTTTTAATAATAGCAACTCTGCATACTGAAAGGGAGAAACACCTTGTTGACCTTTTCTTGCCAGACCTGTCCAATGAAGTAAATGTTTGCTGATACCTGCAAGGACTTTTTAAAAGAAAGCTATGTGGCTGACTGCAGCGCTTTAAGGGAATTTATCTTTTCTGAGCTAATAGGGAGTTTAGTAGCACTAGGAGGAACAGATGGGACATCATTTTGCAAGAATTGTTGGGAGGAATTTTTTTTTTTTTTAAGCCAGCAGTTCTGGCGATTGGCAGTTGTCTTCTGTTGTTAAAGTTGTAGACAGTTTTTGTTTAATTGCTTTCCAATAAGTTCCTTCCTCTTCTTGCTGATACTTAACACAGGAAATGCAAATACTTCATTAGTATTTCTTTGCTTTTATTATATGTATAGGAGTTGGAGATAGGTATCACGTGTCACACACTGCGTTGCGAAAATTGAAGTATGTTTTCTTTTACTTACATATAACTGTATGTTGACCTCCAGTTCATTATTTTTGTTTGAAATTTCAACAAATAAAGTGACAGTGTAAAGTCTTTGGCCAAATTTGGAAAGATTTAATTACAGAGTTTCTTTAACTCCTATGGAATAGATGTCATTCAGTTAATTCAGATCTTAAATACTTTCCAGGATGTGGCCATTGGTCCTGGTTACCTAGAATGAGTGACATTCCTTTGAAGGAAATGATTAAGCTAGTTTTATAGGAATATCTTGAAGGTATTCTAAACTTTTTTTTTCTTTGTGAGAGAGATGAGTAAAAGTTTATCTTCTTGCTAGGTGAACTGTACAGCATGGATAATAATTAAATATTGTAGATGTGTATGACCAGAATTGTTCACAATATTTGGATAACAATTTCCCCAGGGTCATTAATTTACCCTTGCAGAAGTATTTAACTGATCAGTCTTTCGATTGTGCTAACCCTTTTCATGGCTGTCACAATAATGTTTTTTTGGTTGTGATCAGCAACAGCACCTTGCACTTTGAATCTTGCTTTCTTTGCTAACTCATCTTCAAGGTTGATTATATCAGTTTTCCATTGTATTTGATGGTGCCTCTTAACTCCTTCAACAGACATAATCATTATGGTTTGACTTCTCATGCCAAGGCCACTGATACAGATTGAACAAGATTGGTCCCAGCTCTTGTCCTTGAAAAGCTCTTATTCATTTATTTCCAACATTGTATCTCTTTAGCCACTATTTTTTAATTTAAAAAGCTCTGTGTACATTTCAATGTATCTAGTTCAAAAATTTCCCTGCATCCTCCTAGATGAGGCTTCACAATAGTCCAGATAGTCGTATCTTCTGTGTTTGCATAGTGCACAATTAACTGCAGGAAAATATGTTGCATGTAACCCTTCCATTTGTTTCCCCGTTTCTTCCATGCAAGTTTCGAGCTCAAGAATTTTGTGTGGTAAATGGCTCTACTAGGAAAAAAAAAGAAAAAAAAAATAAGTTTGATAGTTTTTAAAGTTGTGCTGCCATTTTGTTCTTGATAGAAGTTAGAAATCTGTGTTACAAGAATGCTTCCCCCCCGGCCCTTTCTGTCTTTAAACCTGACACTCTTAAAAATTCCAGGCTAATGTTCTCAGTCTGGCCTCAGCCAGACAGCACTCATCTTCCTGAATTTGTGTTTTCCTGCTTTACACACTCATTCCTGCTGGCAGTTCTGTCTTTGTTTCTATTCTTTTTTTCCATCTTTTGTACCAAAACCTAAAATAAAATGCGTAATTTTGGGAGTCACATCATGTAGCAGAGCAGCACTGTTCTGTCACTTCCTGGGAGGAGGTTATGTTTGTTCCAGCATTCTTCTAGGGTAGTTGCTCATCTTCTTACATCTGAAGTCCTTGCCTATGAAGTTTCCTGTTGCTTGAGATACAGCTTTTGTGTTTCCAACTGGAGTAAGTTCCAGGACTCTTTCATTTCCATATTTAGTGTGTCTGCATGATGTATGAGAGTCCAGCGTCAAATTACAGAAAGGGAGAAATGTTTAGCCCTCCTAACTTGAGGGGGTTGAATTGTACTGCCAAGGAGCATGTGGCCTTCTCCTCACTGCAGAGATATGGAGGGAGGATTAGCTTCACTGCACTAGACCTGATGTTTGGAAACACACTCTTTTGAGATCTTCTGTTTAGGAGAGTATCATTGGTAGTAGTCTTGTCTGCCCTTTCGAAACCAACAATCTTCATTGTAAATTTGCTTTTGTTAATTGTTTGACTTCATGCCATGTATTTCCTGTTGTGACTTATCAAAGGTTATTTCCTCTGATGAGTTTTCTATATTTTCAAAAATGAACTTAAAACTACCTTTTGCTGTTACTGAGGTGATTGGAATTACAGCAAAAATACATGGATCTTTCCATTCATTAAGGGCATATGTTCAGTTAATAGCCAGGAAGTTGAAGTTTCCTAGTGAGACAGGATTCTTTCAGGATCCAAGTCTGACTTCAAGGAATCTATTGTCATCTTCTTTCTGTTCTTCCACTGGAAAAAGTGAAATTTAAGAGGGAGAACACATTCTGAATGGTAGCATTTTGGCCAATTTGATCAGTGTTTCAACTTCTGATAGCTTTAACTCTCTCATTCAAGTCATGTAGGAGGAATGTTTTAAGTCATGTTATTGTGAATGGTGAAAACAAAGTTAATTTTAATTATACCAATCATTTCACACAAAATAAGATGGCTGATGCAGTGGTGTAACAGTGTAGGTGGACTTTCTCCAACAATGGCCATACCTGAATACTTGAAACCATTCCAGATTCACTTTGTGTAAAGAGAGCAAAGTTTCTGCTTTGGAAGGCAATTTGATGCTTTACTAACTATGCTTAGTAAAACAGGGGATTATCTTTCTCAGGCTTGTCAGAACTGTTCTTGAGGGCAGGTTCCCTTTGCCTGTGATTTGGAGACCTTATCAAGGCACCTGAAATTGCTCTCTGTTGTGATGATGTGTTCAAGCTCTCAAAGTCATTGTTAACACATTGTACTCTGTGTTCACATGGTTAGGAATCCTCTAAATTCATCCTGCCTTTAAGCCTGTAATTAGTGCACTGAACAGGCCTGTGAGTCTGCCTTTCAGAAAACTGAGGCATGTACCTTCCCTGTATCTCCAGGGCTGAATTTGTTTGCCAGTATCAGAGACCTCTCTGATCATCTGGCACCAATGCACAGTGTGAGAGGTGAGCAGTATTTTGCAGAAGCCAAATACCTTAAAATTTCGTGGGTTGAAACAACTTTGTCTTTCAAAGATTGACCAAAATGGTACAGCTCAGAACACAAGTGCAACTATTTGAGTGGAATGCACTTACCAAGCAAGCAGACATCTGTCTTGGGACACTAGGTGACTTTCAGATAACATGATCTGCTGTTGACAGAGGCAGCGGTCACTCCGTATTCCAGCATGGATGTATAAGAGATTTCAGGAGGTGAATAATTTGTTACCTTTGTGACAATAGTTCAACGGGCGTAAAGGTAGAGATAAAAATCTTCCTTGGTTTCGTACACAGCTGCTAATATAAAAATACCTATTGCTTAATGCGTTTCTCTTGTTTGTATTATTGAAGTGATTTCTCAAGGTTTTGCAATGGAATTTTGCCTCAGGAAATAGTGATCTTTAATTTCAGTAGCATACCTTGGAAGAAAATACTCCTCAAAGCAAAAGTATTCTTAGATGACTTCTTGGTGACTTCTTATCATATCTTGCATCTAGAAGGGCTCAAAATAAATCTTGAATCCCAAGTTTCAGAAAACATCATATCCATCATATAATTCTGTAATGCACCCAAGCGTTGAGCACTGTGTTCCCCTCTTACCCTCTCCATTGTGATAATCCATCCATGTGGGTTTGCACTTGAATGTAGGGCTATAAATTTGCTTTGATGTAAGATATTCTTTATTCCATGTGTTGCCAACCCGAAGTTAGAGATGACAAAGATAGCACAAAGCGATGCAGGGAAAGGGGAGCTGTGGCATGGGAAGGAGCAGCATCTACTGTGTGAGCCAAAAATTCAAGGGGAATTGAAGGCACTTGCTTTGCACCAGTGAGGGATAATAAACTGAGTTGCAGCATCTTGCATCTTCGAGAGGCACCATCTCCTTGGCTTCTGTAGAGTTTTTTCTGGTATGATTAGTATCTTATTTAGGAAGGAAAAATACCAATTGGCATGTAATTCTAGAAAGATTCCCATTTCTTGTTCTAACTCATCCTGTATCCAAAAGGCATTGCACTGAAACTAGTCTCTTGCCTATTCATCACCTCAAATCTTCAGATTCTGACTAGTTACCATGGTACTGAATTTCTCTCTTGATTATATTCTGAAATTTTTTTGTTCTTTAATATTTCTGTGCAGTATTTACTGAAAAGATGAGAACCAGTCCAGGATTGAACTTGCCCAAATTGTACTACAGGCAATAAATAGGTTTTTGCTGCTGCACAAGTGATACCTTTTCATATCCATCAGGGAGCAAATTAATACAAATAAGTGACTTTCCAAAGGTGAACTTAGTTCTTACAAAATCTATGTGGAATTACTTTAAATTTGCTCTGAAATCTCTGCTTTTAGAAGCATCTTCACAAAATGCCAATGCCCAATCAGTACTGTGTAATCTGCTGTGTAATTGTGTACATTTTGTAAATTTATATAAAATTTGTGTAAATTCTGTAAATACTGTCTGTAAGCACACTGGTATATTGGGGCACTGTCTGGTGTTGGAGCTTCCACTGTCGTAAGTATGATGGTCTTTACATCAAGCAAAGACTAAGTTAGCTTCTCATCTTAATATGCTTAAAATACTAGGGTTTTTTCCCACTCTCCTGTTTAGTTTGTTGCAGTAGAAGTAAATTACACTTTAGCCATTAATTCCAAATGTTTTTAGTTTAAATACAAGTACATAATTTGCCGAAGAAACTTGAGTGGTTTTTGTATAATTTCCACGTTTGAGATTTCTGTTACTGGATTTGACCACCTTGTAATAATGCTGCATTGTACATACGGAAAATACTGATTATGAACTCTTCCTTTAGGTTGCCATAAAAATAATTGACAAAACACAGCTGAACCCAACTAGTCTACAAAAGGTAGGTATTCACATTTAATCTTTCAACTGTATTGTAACTTTCCTCATTTCATCACCTCTTTCCATTAACCCTGAATGCCTGGGCTGGAGAAGCTGAAGCATTGCATACCTTGCACACATCTGACTACTGTATTTAATAACTAGCTTTGCAACAATTATTTTTGACAACCCTGTAGTTGTTCAAGATGAACTCGTACAGAACTGTAAACTGAGAAAAGAGCGGTATTAGCCACTTCCTTTGTCTCCTAAGCATAGCTAACTGCAGAAAGGATGTTTGTGGTTTGGTGTTATGCCCCCATGTCTCCTCCATGCTGGTCACTCTGTCAAACTTACAAATACAAATCTAATGTTCTGTCCTCTTAAACTGGCCATGAAAATACTGACTCTGGACTGAAGGCCATGCAGTATGTAGTTTGCAGCAGGAAAGGTGATGCAGCTTTATGGAACGAATTGGGGCATGGCTATTCTATTTTCTTCCCTCTAGCTTCAAATGTTTAATGTGCTGTTACAGTTGTATCGCCTTATCTATTTTAGTAAGTAGTGATAAATCCTACTCTTTCATCAAGCAAGCCAATCTGCTGTGGAGTGCCTGCAGGAAGTACATTTAAATGTCATTTTTACCTAGGACTTTTCTAACTCTGTCCTTTTAAGTGCTGCAGTCAAAGGCTTTTTATTTACTTCTAAGTACTTTGATAAAAAAGCTCCTTTCAATATTTCTGTTTGAACAAGAGAATAACCAGAATTTACTTGCAAACAAAATGAAATAGCATAACCAGAGTAAACTGGAGAATACACACATTTGTATTTTATGCAAATACTGAAAAGATCATATGACAATGTTTTTATCAAAATTAGTGGTGCAAAAGTAAATTGGAAAAACACACAAGTTCTTACTTAGTACGGTTTGGTTGAGAGGCAAAGAATAACCTATGGAAGAAAGGCTCTGTCTGAGCAGGTAGCAACTTCCTACTGACTCTGTAGGCTGGGTAAAAGTAGATAATGTGGTTCCAGTTTTCTCAGAATTTTTTTCATCTTAATCCCTGGGGTTATTGGTAATTTTGGGGTAGGCAGGGAGGAAATTAAATGCAAATTAGGTAATATGATGAATTAGATAAAGTTGATTTGTGTGGCAGAACTGTGGAACTTGGAATACCTGAAAAAATTGTTAAACGCTTGAAGCACTTGGAAGAGAAACAAAAGCTGTGTGATATGAAGGGGAGGGGTTAGGGCAAGGGAAGGATGGTCAGAGAAAAGTAGAAAAGCCATGTTTTCAGACAAAAATGTAAAATCTTAATTCTTCAAATGGTGTTACGTTGAGATTGGGCCAGAATGCTAGCTTGAGCTCCTATTAAGGTACAAAGCAAACCTTTTACAAGTCACGGGTGTTCAGTTGGTAAAGTCACAAGCTGGAGGTGTGCTTGTTGGCCCTTTGGTTCCTGGGTTCCTGCTCAGTGTCCAGTCCTGTCTGTCGTAATTTAATTTTTATGTTAAATTTATAAAATCAGATTATAAAGTCTGATTTGTAAATTGGTCTTGTCTACCACTGGGTTTCTTAAATGGGAGTCTGGAAGAGTAATACAAAATAGCAGGGTAGAAATAGCAGATCAGATTTGTGGAGTGAGATTGCTAATGTGCTCTCCTCTCTAAGCTCATTTGTTACAGGAGCACAGAAGAAACTTTGCAAGATACGTCAGTGTTCTCAATTCAAAAATTGAAAGTAATTGTCTTAAAATTTCTTAAAATGAAATGTCTGCTTGTCCACAGTAGCAAGACTGAATGCACAATGCATTACTTACGAATTTTGCTTAATTAAGGCTTTTTTGTAAACCCTTGCCCCTTTTCCCCTGGCACTGTCAGCAGTGCCGTAGCCTCAGTGCATTTGAAGCCAACTGTGCACGCAACCTGTAGATGCAGGGGAAGCGAAGATGGAAGTATTTCTGATCTTGCACTTACAGAGAGAGTGATAAAGTATTTAAGGTATGGTGGGGAGGGGAGGGCTGTGCCGAGAGGAGGGTGTGGTGTATAGCATCTCAGCTGCGGTGTGGCTGCATACCCCAATCAGCCTTAGCTGGGGAAACAAGTGGTGATTAAGGCTGCTGGTGCCGATTTCTTTGTATTAAGTCTTCCACGCTGATACTTCAGCTGCCAGAAGGAAGTTAACCTTGTTAAGAACTTGCTTTGCTTTCTGGAGCAGTAATTCTTGGTATGTCCTCACGGTAAGCTCCAGGCGGCTGCAGTCCTGACAGCTCAGTGTTCTGCCGCGCCGCTCTTCAGAAGAGTCGAGTTTCTTGTCTGCCGCTGAGGAAGTCCATGGTAGCCACATGCAGCTACTCTTAACTGTTGTTTTAGGACCTGATTACTATTCTGCTTCTCTTGCTTAATGAAGAGGAAACTGTAACTGGTACTTCCCTGCTTTGGAAGAAAAGAGAATTCTTTGAGCTTTTTTCCCATGCTGGTGGCGTTAGTCATGATCACTGTTCTCCACAAATGTACTTGTGTGCCCAGTTCCAGTGAATATTGGTCTCACTGGAAACGAGTGTTGATGCTACAGTAGTTCACTTCCTCCTAGATGAAAAAAAAAATTGTTTTTGTTTTCTTCTGAGTTAGCAATGCTATTGTATGCAGGTTTGTTTTTTTTTTTTTACTAAGTCCATGTAATAGCACTAAATCACTTCTCATTTTCCTCTTTTAGAACTTGGCTCCTCAGCAAAATATTTTTGTTCATTACATTTTGCCACTTGTTTAGGCCATTTTTTTTGTTTAAAGTTTTTTAGAATTCTTAAAAGTGTATTTTAATATGGCCCATGTTCTTTCTGACCATGGGTCAATCAGTATTTTAAAAACTGCAAGAAAAGGATGAGAATTTCAAATGCTTAGGCTTTTTTGTTTATAACAAGTATTTTTTTTTCTGTTTTCAAGCCACAATTTGAGTCAAACTTGTATTGTATAAAGGCTTCCTGTTTGAGGCTCCTAATTATATGTAGGACATATTTCAGAGAGCAGTTACCAGGAGGAGCCTAATACACAGGTCAAAGCTTGAGCTGGCTTGGGACAACATCTGGTGAAAAGCCCTTACTTTGTGGGGGGAGGAGGCCAGGATATGTTGGTTCTCTGCATCTGACAAGTGTACTGACTTGCTTTTTAGCAAACTTCTATTCAGTATTTTTGAAAGAATTTGTTACTGAAACTCTTGAACTAGCTAATGCAGGAACACTTCTAATCTGTCTTCTGCTGTGTTCAGAGAATGTTGGCTCAAAAGATGGGCTGGTTTGGATGTATCAGCATAATAAAGTTGAAGTCAAATTGATTCAAGATTATTACTCAGTATGTGTCTGTGCTTCCATTGCTAGTTTGTTGGGTTATTTTTACTCAATTTGTTGGCTAGCAGCATTAATTAAATGTAATTCTTTCCCTATATCTAACACGGCTTATATTTGAAGGACCAAACCACAACAAAGCTGAAACCCATTTGTTTGGTAGACTCAGGATGTTTGTCATTGCCTAGAAACGTTTGTAGAGCTCCTGTTGATGGAAAATGAGCTGTTCAACAAGTTGGGAGTAGTTTTTAATCTCAGTATTATAAATTAAAGTGATAAGCACTAGTTTCAGTTGATTGTCTGCCTTTCTGGTCTTATTATGACGAGTAAGTTCCTAAAACTAAGAGGATTATCTCCTGTATTGAGAACCTTCACGCTACGTCTTCAAATGTTACACCTTCTGCCTATCTGTGGCAGAGAACCTCAGACGTGTGGGCTTTTATCATACCTGCCTGTCTGCAGTAGATTTTACTGTGTGATGATAATTACTACTTCATTATTCTAGAAATTGATAGATGTAATATTTTGGGGGAAAGAAATTGGGGAAACTTTTTTTCAGTATACTGTGTGAAAGTTGTATGATGTTTTACATTGTATTATGTATTATATTCTTTTTCTGATAGACAAATACAATGTCAAGCATTTGCAGATATCCCTGTGGAAGTTGCTATCTGGGACAAAATGCCACACATAACATTTAAACTGACTAGGGGAGCACAGTCTGAAGTGCATCTCTGTAACTAAAATTATAATGAAGAATTTGGTGGTGGTTGTATCCTACTCTCAAGTATTTCTATTTTTTATTTCCTGTGAGACAGAAATAGTTGGTTTTTAAAAATCTTGTTTCTAGTCACCCACTTCAACAAATGGCTCATATGTAGAAGCTACTTTTTGACATGCTTTGTTCGGGTTAGTAATGCAGAGTAATCATCTTGTGAACTGATGTTATATTTAGAGCAGCCCAAAATGTAGTATGAGCCTGGCTTTATCACATCGAACCATCAAAGTGTAGTGTACAATGGAGGAAGTAGCTACCTTCAGCCAAGCCGGCATACTTTATTAAAAAAAAAAAGTAATGAATATATTAATTTACATTATGATATTGTGAATTTTAGCCTCATTTTTAATGTCTTATTCTATATTGCCTTTGGTTGACTGTTATTGTTTGGTGGCACCAATTATGACCACCTATATTCCCATATTTAATCCTATGAACATATCTTTTTTTTTTTTTAGGTGTGTGAGGTGATGATAAATAGGCTAATGGCTGAATAACAGCCAAGGTCTTCATCTGTGCAGCAGTGGAGTTGCCTTTGGTGAGAGTCTGACCCAGTAGGCTTTATCTGAGTATTGGAGGTAGAAGATATCAACAGCCAGTTGAGAGTAAATTAAGCAAACTGCCTTCAAAACTTTAAAAGCTGACCAGAGGCTTTCAGATACATAATCTGTGATTAAAAGTATTAATGGAGTATTCAGAATATATTATACACCAGTTCAGCTAAACTGAATGAAAAGTAAGAAAAAAAAATAGATATAGATTCAACTGTTCTTAAATTTCTAGTGATCAGAGAGAGATGGTGAAGTAGTCTATCTTGTCTAATTATATATGGAAAAGCTCTAGAAATAATGTAGCTAAAATAAAGCAGTTTGCTTACCTCTCTGGGGGAGAAAGAAAACACGTATGCATAGTTTTTGAAACTTTTGCATGGCCAAAAATTTACTTGATCAGTCAGTCGTGATTGCATTTAAGCAACTTGTTGTCTAGCGAAGTGTCAGGCATAGACCTGGATAATGATAATAAGATAATCAAAAGCATTTGGAAAACTCTTTGATTTTACTCTGTGTTCGGGTAGTGTGCTGTTCACAACTGCGGCTGTACCATGGGGGAGGAGGTCTGTTGGGCAGTGCAATGAGGATTGCTCCCCAAATCTTAGCCTTTACAGAAACATCTGGAAGCAGAGAATGGTTAGAACAACGAGTCTCCAAACTGTGGGGTTTTTTTTTGTTGTTGTGGGTTTTTTTTTTCTCCTATTTATTTATTTATATTCCCCCCCCCCCCCCGCATTTTTTTTATTAAAGGACACAAAGGCACAAGGATTTTGTTTTGTTGACTCTTTGGTGGTTTTCTGTTTGTTTCCTATGTTTGACTTTTTTTTTTTTTTTTTGCTTTTATTGAATAAGTACACCTACAGATTTTTGAGTCATTAGTAATATGTGTAGACATATTAAATGTCTTCACTTTATCTGAAGTCTGACCTGAGGCAAATCTTGCAGCAGCACTTTTTGTTTCCTTACTGTTAATAACAATGCTGTTATGTTTTATTTAGAAAACTCTTTCTTTTCGCCCATATCTGCATTCCTGTGGGGCTGTGGACATTTATTTTGCTTTAGTCTCTTTACATTAGGTTCAATATGCTCTGTTACATTTCTGGTATTCCTGTAGAAGCTGATGTTAGGTTTATAATAAAACCTCTTGATTACTCCCACTTATTGAAGCTTGCTGTTAGAAAATAATTGAGGTGTAAGTACGTCAGTCTTCTGGAGTCTTGGACTGGTGTAGGGGGGGCTGCAGAGGGAGAACAGCTATGCACTTAACTGTCATATATTGTACTGCCTAAAAAGGTAATTCTTTAGGTTTTCTGAATACAATAGTATTTGACCTTTGAGGGTTTTTTTTTTTTTGGTAGTAATTTTTTATCTTGGGTCTTTTCTATGAGAAGAATTAGAACTACTTTTAGTTCATCTGGTATTAACCGACTTCATTAAAAGCAATGTTTCATATTGCAGTAAACACCACCCATGGCATTTTTAGTATTACACTTACAGATTTATGTGCATCTTGTAATGTCTTTTGCAGAAGAGTTTTCAGAGGTGAAAATAATTAACAGCTGATCAGTAGTAGACCTTGCTTTCATTTGTGATTTGTTAAATGTCATTCCGGTATTATCATCCAGTTGCAAGAAGACAGAGTTTACTCTGTGTGACAGGCTGAGTTGAACTCTCTGGAAATAACTGCTTGATCCTTACAATCAGTATGTGGTCTCTGCGTGCAGCACCATTGATGGAACGTCGTGCTGCAGCTTGAAATGGGCAGTGGTACCATCCATCCTGTCAAAATAGATGTGCTGTGGGGGGCAAGGGAGCTGCAACAGAAAGCTTAGAGATGAGATATTTTTATTTGGGGGAGTTGTGTGTTTTGTGAATTTTTTTTTTCTGTTAAATTCATTCCAGGAACCTGTGTGTCGCTCTGGGTTAACCCCAGGGCTTGCATAAAGGGAAGCAGTATGATCCTGTTGCATGGGAAGGTGGGTGGTGAAGAGGGTGGGAGCAGACTGATACCTTTGAGGCTGTACCCCTGAAGTAGAGGTGTTTCTTCTGGTTGCTGGGGTCAGGAAAACACCATTTGTGTTCTGCCCTGTTAATTTTGGCAAGTATGTTCAGTGTGCTGTACTGGCTGAGCAGGCTTGGAGGCTGTATGTCTGGCAGTGAGTCGCTGGAGCTGCAGCAACAGACTCCGGGCTGGCTGCTACTGTGCCTCAGTCACCATGCAGGAATGCTTCTAAAGGGCTGAGGGGTAGCCTTGCCTTCCCATCTCTCCTTAAAACTTGCTTCTTGCTGGTATAGTTGGGTAACATACTTTTTCTGAAATATAAGCAGCTGATTTTTTTTACCTGTGAGTTCCTGTTGTAGGAACAGTAATTCCATGGCTTTAACAAAGTACCAGAGTGGTGAATTCATACCAGTAACATACTGCCGTGGTCTTCAAAAGGTACTCTGGTGGAGATTTATGAAACTTTGGAAGCAGTATTTTCTGTGAAGGAGATGAAAGACGGTGTGAGATGTACTGGCCCTCAGGAAGCTGCATAGGCTCGTAATGGTTGTCTGGCCCCAAAAGTCTGTGAACCACAGAGCTAAGATCACTTCTCTCCTGAGCTGTCTGAAGTGCTTTGTGGGTATTCTCGGGTTCTTAAGGGTTGATTTGTTTGGGGAGGAATGTTAAAAGAAGCAAATACATAACTCTTCCTTACAGTAAGTGCTTATTTCATGAACTTCATTGAAATGCTAATAGTAATGTTTGACCTTTGTTTTTAAGTATATCAGAATTATCAGGCTTTAGGAATAATGGGTGTAACCTACTTCATTAACATTTTTAATGTTTTATGTTTATTTCAGCTCTTTAGAGAAGTAAGAATAATGAAGATCTTAAATCATCCAAATATAGGTACCTTGTTTCTTTCACATAATTTCCAACTCTAGAGAAATATTAGCTTTTTCACTGTAGATGTTGTTGTGGTATGAGTTTAAAAGATGATTCTGCACTAAGGTGTCAATTTAATGTAACGTAGCAGTAATAAATACTTTTTCAGAGCTGTGTGTCTAAAGCAAAAAAAAAAAAGGCAAAAAACAACCCCCAAAAAGTTTTGATCCCTTTGCATAAAACTGTTACTTGCATAGCTAACTGATAATTTTACTCGAGTATATTGATTTTGACTGAATTCAGGCTCTCTAAGTATATACCAAAACAAAGAAGTTATCAAGAAATTGTTCAGGATTGTACATTTAAATGTTGTATTGTTAAGGGACTGTCAGCAAACAAACTGATAACTTATTTTTCACCATCTATGCCCAGTTCAGTGCATAAAAACAGCTATTGCTGATGCTCAGATCTGTGGAAGTTCTCTTAACTTAGTTGCTTTTCCAACATAACAGAAGCAGAGTATAGCTTCTTGAGCAAATGTGTTACAATGTTTTCCATTTAGGAACATCAGACGGAAAAAGCTTCTTTAATAGTCTGATATTGTCAAGCAGCAAGCAAATAGGTGTTTCTTTCTCTGTCAGAATTCTCTGTGGGGTTAACATAATACTTCTGCAACTAGTTAACTGATTAATAAATGGCTTTCTTTTCTAGTGAAGCTGTTTGAAGTCATTGAAACTGAAAAAACTCTCTATTTAATAATGGAATATGCAAGTGGGGGTAAGTACCTCTGCTGTGATGATACATATAAACAAATTGCCAAGTGGGAGAAAGCACTTGTTTTCTTTAAAGTTTTGCCTTCTTTTTCAGCAAATAATAATATCATGGTACTGTAAAATACTAAGAAAAATCTTTAATATTCTCTGGGACTTCTTTGGGCAACATAATTAATTATAACTTGTAAAACTATCATCTGAACTTACTGCAACTTAGTAACATTTGCTTGGTTTTCACAACTCAAATTTAATGGGAATCTTTAGTTGGCCATTGATTGTTTCTGTCTGTAACAAATGCCAACTTTCTCTATTGTATTCTGATTCCTACCTCTGGTGTCCTATTTTATATAAGATACTTGGTAAAAACATGTTCAGATGAAACGTTTCTGTGTTTCTTTACCTGTTGCTGTCAAAAGCAGGAGTACTGCAACTTCTGGCTTTTAGATGTTGAAGACATTTGACATATCTTAATCACAGACCTTCCGCTGTCAAGAACTGTTAGGCTTAGCCTTAGGCCATTTTAGGAGGAACTTAAACATTTATTCCCAACTGCAGAGGGGGAGGAAAAAGCACACATCGTGCAATGTCAGATATTTTCACCAGAGCTAGAATTAAGGTATTTGGGCTTAAGCTACTACTTGCTGGCTAAAACCTACTAGCTCTCAGTTTGTCGGTGTGACTCTTTAGCATCAGCAGCTGGGAATCTCAACTAGTTGAGGCTTTTCTTTAGTTTTGGGAGGGAGATAAAGAGACTTCTTTTTAGAGAAAATCAGCATTGAATTCTGACTCTTGACGTTAGACTACCTGAAGTTTAACTAATTACTATAAATCAGGTCATTATCCTCAATCTGCCTATGTTTTCTTCTAGCAGCTCCCTAAATGCTCAGCCAACATTTGTCTAAGCAAAACCAAAGTTGATAAAATACTCTTAAAATACTGGCTAGTACATGTGTTTGGAGGCATTTCTTTGCTGTTTGATGATACTAGACTTAAAAGTGCAGTCCTATTGCCATCTAGTGATTAGCGACTAGGAGGTAGAAGGGCCAGCATTTCTGTAAAGCAGTGAGGATCTTTCTTAGGGTAATGGATTGATGCATATTGTACTGGTCTAAAAAGCCATGAGCAGTACCCTTTGCATGATCCATGTAGTGCAAGACAGAAATGGCTTGTAATCTCAGTGGCAGGCATCAATTTCCCATATTTCCTCTTTATCAAGATACTGGTCACACATGATGCATATGAACTCTGTGGCTGCAGGATGGAAGAAACTATTCCCAGCTGCAACACTTTGCATAAATTGGCGATAATTCTTTCTCTGGTGTCATTTTCCCTGAATTACGAAGAAGTATTCAGGTTTGTTCCTTCAAGCTTTTTGAAGAAACAGCTGTGAAGTACAGCTGAGAGAGTTACCTGAGTATTGCATAACACACTACAAACAGAAGTAAGGCTATTTTGTAGAAAATCCAGACATTCCCTCAGATTGCTCAGTTGTTGCTTTTCCTGCTGTATGACTCTGGGGGTTTTGTTCCAGTTTGGAGTTGCTTCTTTTCAGAAATAGAAGTGAAGTTACTCAGCTCTTCCCTTGTGAGGGGACTATCTACAAAACAATGTTTTCTTGCTCAGTAGAAAATATTTAGATATTTGATCCACTTCTAAAGTTTTTATTAATTTTGCATATTTGTGAAGAATTTTTAAAACTGTGTGCTAGTCTGTGTTTGTAGGAGTTCTTATGTACATGACTTGGTTTTTAGTAAAGAAAATCTCCCATGTTCTCACAAACATGTCAGTGGACCAGTTGGCTGCACCTAAAGCTCAAACACTGTAGTCTATATTGACATGCTATAAAATGACTTGATCAATTAAAGGGGGAAAAAAAAGCAAAACACAACAGATCTTTAGTACTGCTTTAGTAATCTCCTTTAGTTGTCCACAGCCATACAACGTTGGGTTTGTTCAGGAGTAATACTTCTCAGTGTATCTTACAGATGTGATGGTTGTGTGATAGATTATGTCAGTGGGTCCTGCTGTGCTCATTATTGTGACCTTCCTTGTGGGTACCTCTTACAAGCCTAGGTTATAGCTAAGGTTTCTGATTTTAGTTAGAACAATTTTATACCAGTGCACAAAAAAAAAATTCTAGTGCTGGTATGAAAATATCTACAAATATCGTCAGATGTTCTCGTATATGAAGCTTTTTTTTGTGGGGCAAAAGAAACCGTTCTGAGAAAGTCTGTGAAAAGAGTACGTCATCTTTATTTACAAGACAGAAGTATGCTGCTCAGTTTCTGTCATAAATAATTGGAGGGAAATGTTTGGGATTTTTTGTCTATATCCATTCATTCATTAAGTCTTATTATTTTCTTGTATAAGAGATGACAGTGTTGTAAATTGCATTGCAGTTGTGCCCTGTTCTCTTGAGCTAACGTGTAATCATAAACTTGAAGTACATTCATTCTGGTGAAGCTGCTGTGGGCAACTGCTAAAGGAGAATCTCTAAAGTCTGAAATTGGTGTTAATGTATCTCATTACTGAATTGTAGGGGAAGTGTTTGACTATCTGGTTGCACATGGAAGAATGAAGGAAAAGGAGGCTAGAGCTAAATTTAGACAGGTATGTATAACGTTCCTATACATCAGCTTCCCCATCCCCCCTCCATTTTTAATGCTGAAATGAGTAAAACGCTGTCCTTTGCATTTGACTTCTAGCAGTGTTCAGCATGTTGTGGACTTGTATCCCTGAGTGAGGAAGAAGCTTGTGTTACAGTAGTACTCAGAAGGGGTTAGGAGTCCCTTCAGTGGTGCTAGTTTCCTTAGTGCAGTGTGCCAGGGTATCCAGGAGTGCCAGAACACAGGAGCTGCTTGATTTGAAAGTGTGTCCTGTTCCAAAATGCATTTCCTCTGGGTTGATTTCATATATCCTTAGTTCAGCTGGTCTGTAACATTTTGGAAGTTACTCGAATGCGAGAGGCTACAGGCCAGTTTCAAAACACAGGCAGTGCACGTAACAGGGATCCATACACATCTACCCACTTACATGAAAGTACACGGTTTAATAGTTTTAAAAAGTCAGGGAAAAGTAATTTCTTGGCTTGTTAGTTTAGCTTTCTTTATGATGGATAAACTAGCCCTGCAGAAATGCTGGAATTTCATTGATCCGTAAAAAAACATTTCCATTCAACAGTAAAGCAGTATTGAATATAACCTTATATTTTTTCATAACTAATTTAAATCCAAATCTCTGCTCTTGTAGTATCTAGAGTTTAACTTGCAGATCCGACTATTCTAATATACTTTGTTTTCTGCTCTTGTGCAAAAATTTGTAAATGCCTACCTTATTTCCATCCCTTTGGTCACTTGGACAACTAGATTATGTTGTGAAAGTTAATAGATATCAAAATTATGTTACTGCTTAATGATGTTTTAAAATAATGAATAGGGAAAAGAGTGTCTTATTGGATGATATGTAGAGGTTTTAAAGTGGTGAATTGAGGCAATGACGTGACAGTTTCACTGTTGGAAGGAGAAGCTTCAATAGCTTCTCTTCTTAAGCATAGCCGTACAAAAGTAGGAGAAATTTGATATTATGTATGAGACTTGCAGGAAATTAATTAATTTCACAAAATGCCTTGTAAGGAAATCTTACACACTTCTCTAGTGTGAATAGTGTGACCAAAAGGAACAATTTGGGAACTAAAGAACTATGCCACAACTGCTTTGCTCCATCTGTTTCATATAGTAAGAATTGTGTGAAGGCAATGTAAGCAATAAGCTCAAAAGTAGAATGGAAGTCAAGAAAAATAGTAATGTATTTAACCCAACATCAGAAGGCAGCAATAGCGTTTCTGTGAAATCCTTGTTCCTTTGTTTTCTCTCATCTCTTTAAATCTTGTATTTACCTTCTTTAATTTTTTTCTGGGGGAAAAAAAAAAAAAACAAACAAGAAATTGATCAAAAAACCGTACAAACTAAACAGCCCAAAAGAAGCAGATGCAGACTTAATATCCACAGAAGTGATGTGTGATTACTTGGAGTTATACAGCTTGATAGCAAGGAAAATTTTTCTTCCTCTTTAACAAAATCTTACATGTCTTCTGGAGCTGCTTCCCTCCCTTTCATATTCTGGCAGGTAGAGAACTTTTCCTTGTGATTGAGGGTTTCTGGTATGTGTTTCTGTGCTGTGCTGGAGTAGATGTGATGGGTTGGAGAGCAGTTGTTCTCACTTCAGCCCTCTCTTCTAAATCCTGGGCAGTTGCCTTGCTCTTTGTAATGTCACTTGAAGAGCTTCAGAGTAACTTGAGATGCTTTGCTGTTCTCTCTGATGTGAATGTTGAAAACTACTACTGGTATGGTTTTCTGCTCTTTGTCCTCAGTTTCTTTTATCAGGAGCTGTGTGGAAAAAGATCTTGCAGTAATTCCATTGAAACTACACATTTGTTCAACAATTACCTATTTTCTTTCCCAACAATTCGACTCCCCTTTAAGTGAAAACTTGTGGAAACAGGTCAAACATGTTTTACAGGTACACTTAGTGCTTAATTTTATGGGAAAATGTAGGTAGTAGAGGGTATATGTAACTTCATTTTTCAAAAACAAATGTGAAGGGAAAGAATTGAAAAGGTTACCTGCTGAGCTGGGTATCTGACCCATCAACAATTGATTTTGTGTATTTCAGATTCTCATCTTGGGTTTTTTTTTTTTTGTTTTTTTGTTTTTCTTTTTTATATATACTTTGGTAGACTAAATGTTGTTTGTAAAGGTATGTAGATGGCCTCACTTGAATCCACTGAAATACACAGAAGTATGTTTTTGGTTTCTTCTTCTAAGTCTTGTCTGCTGGCTCAGGCAGCTGTGTTCTTGTGTTCTGTCCTCCCTCAACAGCTGACTTCCCAGCTACGGAGCTCAACCAACTTCAGTGAACCTTGTTCTCAAAGATGGGAGCTTCAAAAGCATGAATGCCTGGAAAAACAAGAGAGAATCCTAGTAATGACCCAAGGAGAGAAACTAGCATGAGCTCATTGTCTTTTGCTAGAGAGAAGAGCATGCGCATAGGACAGAAGTCAAGCAACTTTGATCAGAGCTTGGCATTTATTAGGTGGTAGAACTCTGGCTGTGGGACAGTGTCAAAGGAAATTAGATCTTACTGGGTTTACAGGTCATAAAACTATTCATTTCACCTTACTGTAGTCCCAGAATAGCTTCGTATAGCTTTTAGCCATTGTTGGAGGACTCTCTGTAGACCTTTTATCTGATTCAGTGCAGCTGTTCTTATGTTAGATAGAGACTTATGACATACTAGGGGTTTATTTTTTAAAAATTTGCTAACTGATTTAACAGTCAGTGGTTCTCTTTAAACTGAAGAAACAGTTGTGCCATGACACTGAGCTTAGTTCTTACAATAGATTATATTATATCTTGTTTTCAGATCATGTTTCTTCTTTCAGGAGATGTGATTTCTGGACCGAACACTTGTGTTTTATGTGAGGAGGCACTTCCTCTCTAGCAGGCAAAGAGCAGAATTTGGTAATTCTCTCCTCTTTGCTTGTTAAAAAAAAACAACTTTTTTTTGGTCCATTTTTTTACGCATACTTAAAGTTTTTAGCAGGAAAAAAGAATGTCAAAGACAGTGATCACGTTATTCCAGTCACGCTTGACAAGGAACACAGGGGAGGGTACAAACACTAAAAATACAGCCGTGCTCTGCAGTTCTCCATTTCAAACTCATTTTGTGCAGCCATGTGTGAGAAATTCAAATCCAGAACATTTTGCATTCTTAATGTCACCTTGTTTTTCTTCCTCTATTACAGGCTTCCAAGCAGTTCTGGTTCGATCTTACCATCCTTTTTCTGTAGAAAAATCTGCCCATCTGGGTAAGAATGCAAAAATGAGAAGCCAAGACTCAGGGCAGAGAGTCTCCCAAAATTCATGTGTATTAATTCCTTCTCTCCCCTTACTGCAACCAATTAGATCCGGCCTCCTTCAGTCTGTTTTCCTTGCAGCAGTTTAGAGTTTTTAGTGCTGGGAGATGTTAGGACAGAACTTGGAAAATAAAAAAATCCACAAAGTACATCTTATTGTATGTTCCAGTTAAGAAATGAAATATTCTTGGCTGTGTGGAGGGGACCTTGAGAGGTCATTTATCTATCCTTTTGTCATTTAATCCTTATGAAGAATGGTTTCTCTGCCTAGAGATAACTTGTTCCAACTTGTTTTTTAAAACCTATGATTATACAGATTTTTGAAATCCCTCCCAAGAAATGTATTTCAATGCTCCAATTGTTACCTCTAGCAAAAAGGTCTGCTGTTTTTTCCCTTCTTCCCACCTGCCAAGCATCAACAAATTTCTCACGCTCAACTAGATTGAGGGTGAGGGGGCTGCCAATGGAAACAGTGATGGAAGGTTGAAGACAAGGGAGTCGTCCAGTGCAGCTATGCTTTGTGCTATTTTTCATTCAGTTATGACTGCTGTTCTTCAATTATTAATGTCGTACACATTCTATTATTTTCCTTCCATTTAGTTTGGTCTCACTTCAGTTTCTGTGCTATCCTGTTGCAGTGCAGAGTAGTTCAAAAGCATCTCCAAAGGAAACTACTGATTGATCATCTGCTAGACCTTCCACTTTAGAGTAAAAGCGGTATAGGAGTGAGTGGTATAGTGCTGTGTCTCTGCAGTCCTGAATAAAGCTTGAGGTGTTTGTCATGCTGTCAGACTTAGAAGCCCCTGCAGAGTGAACTTGTGACTGGTGCTAAAGTAATGGTAGCGGAGAAGAAAGGAAGGAAAACCAAAAGGATGGTACAGTGGTAGCATGGGAACACTTTGGCAGTTTCAGTGACTGTAAAAAGCTGAACTTTGGAGTCTGAAAGAGGGAGCCAGTACATAAAAGAACAAGCAAAACCAGAATGAAAGTGTAGGGAATGCAAATACTTCAACTCTTCATAGACTGCTTTGTTTCTAACGTGGCATTCTGCATGTGTGTGACCCAGTAATGCACAAAGATCTTAACATTGTTGCTTAAGTGTTGAATGTAAAATTGACTGGTAGATCAGTTCTGTGACCCACCAAGAACCTTACTTTCACCTACTCGTAATACTGGGAGAGAGAGCCATTGCTTCTTACCAGTACAGGAGGATCCTTATGCTAAGCTGGGCAGTCTGATCACAAATTATTTTTTTGTAACAATAGTTATACCTCATCTTTCTGTGTCGGAAATCTTCTTAGTCTCAACAAAGAATGGAAATACATTTATTTAAGAGTTATTAGTGAGTTATTTCTATGCGCAGTTCCACTTATTTTAAGAAATAATATCTGCCTCAATTCTGACCACGTATGCATGACAATAAAATGTATTTGGCTACATTTATGATCAGGTAAAAATAAGACTTTACCCAGCTTTTCCATACATGTAGAGTTCTGTAGCAATGCTTATGACTAAAGCAGTGTACTAGGACACTCTACTCTGTAAAGTGCTTACAGTTTTCTATATAAAGCAGGAAAAATGTAATGATATTTGGAAATGATGATGGAATAAGTTATTCCTTTACACTCAAGAGACATAGAGTTTTTTTCCATTGAGCTTGCTATTCTTGTACAGTATACAAAATACAGTAAACCTGTAAAATACAATAAGCCATATGCACTTAGACAGCAGATGCATAGTTGCTTCTCACTGCGTAAGCTTTGACAAACAAGCTGTTTCCCAGTAGTTTCTCCAGTAGCTAAGCTCATTTCTTACCATTTTCTCTCCATGCTGTGGCATGAAAAATCACCGTTGGGGAGGGACTGGAAAACTTCTGTCTAGAGGGAAAGCTTTGATAGCTGTATACAGTATTGGAATGGAAATACTTTAGTAACCTTCCTGAAAGTCATTGCTTCTGCTGGTCTATAATTAGCCACACAGGAAAAACAAAATCCTCTTTCAAGTCTAGTAGAAACAAAATAGATCAAATAACAATACCTAAGTTATTTATCAGCCTTTCCCCAGATATGCTGGACACTATAGTAGCTGGTTACATAGCTCTAAGTGGATAAGTATGTGTCAACTTTAGTAGTAAATGTTGATCTTCTTGGTTAAAACTTTTGTTTTTTTGAGATGTCACTTACATAATTGGGTTTGTTTTCTATCCAGATAGTATCTGCAGTGCAGTATTGCCATCAAAAGCATATTGTTCATCGAGATCTCAAGGTGAGTAGGAAAAAGTGCGTGAAGTGTCAGCTTCTGTACCTGTGGGTGTGATCTTTATTGTGCTGATAACGTGTATATTAAGCTTCCTGATTTATTTATTTTTTTTGTATGTGTTATAGTAAGTTTTGAGGAATGTTTTCAGTATGTAATCATGTTAAATATAAAGAAAAGGACTTGTAAGGCTTTGAAATACAGAAATTTAACGTCTGTTGAAAGATAGCCTCTCACCCAGTGGTCAGATTCAAATCTGATTCAGGTCACTGTTAACTGAGAGATCTTTGTCAACCTGCCCCCTCCTCCCTTTTTTTTTTTTTTTTTTTTTTTTTTTTTTTTTTTAAGAGGTGTGACAAGTTTTGATCCTGAACAGAATGAATTACCAGTTGTGATGATGAAACTGAAGTATGGCTTTTGTAGCTTGGCATGAAATTGTATATCCCTTTTTTAAATTGTGCCTTTTATATTAATAGTGTTGCCACACAACTTGTTCAATATATAGGTTTTTTAACTTAAACAAACCCCAACAAAACACCACCAAGAAAAAAAAACACACTTGAAAAAAGTTTGAAGGTTATGTATATTACCAGACTTTTGCAAGAATGCCACATAAAGTATGGATAGTGAACTGTATCTTGTTTTCATCTTGATAGATCAAAATAGCAGTTACAAGAGCTGAGGATGCATTTCTGTGGAGAAAACAGATAGATGTAATAACAGTTTTCGGGTAGCGTAACAGCTGCCATAGTATGAAGTCATTGTGTGGAGATTTTTAAAATAGGAGATATGTGAATGATAGACTAAAGAGTACCTGCAGACCTTGTAAGGAAGGGGATTTATATTTCAGCTTTTTGCCTTCTAACAGTGAGTAAAAACAGACAATAGCATTCAAAATCGTGTATTTTAAGTTAATCTTGAAACCGTTCTTTCTCTTCCAGGCTGAAAATCTATTGCTAGATGCAGATATGAACATTAAAATAGCTGACTTTGGTTTTAGCAATGAGTTTACAGTTGGAAATAAACTGGACACCTTTTGTGGCAGCCCACCATACGCTGCTCCAGAGCTCTTTCAAGGGAAGAAATATGATGGACCTGAAGTAGATGTTTGGAGTTTAGGTGTTATTCTTTATACTCTTGTGAGTGGATCTCTTCCTTTTGATGGACAGAACTTAAAGGTGTGTTTTTGTAGAACAAGTTGGGACTGTTTATCTAATGTTTTAAGTGATTTGCTGCTTACGACTTAACTGTCTGTTCTTCTTCTGTTACCAAGGAACTTAGAGAAAGAGTGCTAAGGGGAAAATACAGGATTCCTTTCTATATGTCCACAGACTGTGAAAACCTCCTCAAACGTTTCCTGGTGCTAAACCCAACAAAAAGAGGCACTCTAGAGGTAATGGCACAAATAAGGTGCATCAGAAAGTTCAACATTATATTTTTCAAACTGTATTACTGAGCTGTCACTTACTGTCATAGCATTCCTGAATAGTTTATTTGAAGTGGTTTTGGGGTGGGAGGGGATGGGTATTGAATAAAGCATATGACTCTTTTTTTAAGATTTTGTTTATTGGGGTTACAAGATACCTGACTCCACAATTGCTTTCAAAATGAACATGAGACTACACTGCATGTGTCCTACAACTTTTCCTGAAGGCTCCCTTGTGGATTCCTGCATTAATGGCTGATCCACCAGGATGTTTTCCACATTTTCAAATGTGAACTGGAAATATTGGCTGCTAGGTTATGATGGGGTTGCCTTTTGTCTGCATTTTGTACCATTGTGGAGGAGAAAGGCCAAAACAATTCTGGCTTCCATGGTCTTCCATAGTCAAGCGTGGACCTACTAGACTTGTCAGAGGTATTGCACTACTGCTGGTCTCTGTTACGGCTCTGAGCTTTCATCTGTGGGCTAGAATACAGCTGATTGGGAAGCAGTTTGGCTTGATGTGCATAGTTGATTCTCCTCACTGAAGCAAAACAAAACTGAGTAGATGCTGGGGCCTGATCTGGAAGAGTCAAAAAAGACCTTAGTGTTTGATAGACAGGGGAGTTGTTCTTTCAATAGCTCGTCGTCTTTGCTGGTAAGTGTATTGCACTAACGAATCACTTTCTTTTATAGCAAATTATGAAGGACAGGTGGATCAATGCAGGGCATGAGGAGGATGAACTTAAACCTTTTGTTGAACCAGAACTAGACATCTCGGACCAGAAAAGAATAGGTAATTCCGTATTTTTCAAAATATGATAGTGTTTGCATGATGTGGGTGGTTTTGTTTTTTTCCTCTGCCACTCTGTATTTGAGTGCTATTTGAAATATCAATATTAAAAAATTAGTTAGTTTTTCATCAGGCTTATGTTCTCACACTTAATTGTTTTGCTTAATTCTTTAAGCATTTATTTCTTTCTCTTGAATTCAAACAGCCAGCCTGAACATCAGAGTGTTTCTGTTACAGACTGTGTGTTTGTTTTTAGATATCATGGTAGGAATGGGATATTCTCAAGAAGAAATTCAAGAATCCCTTAGTAAAATGAAGTATGATGAAATCACAGCTACGTACTTACTGCTAGGAAGGAAATCATCAGAGGTAAGTACCATTGTTACAAATGCAAAGAAACAAAGGAATCAGAAAGCGTCCTTAGCAAAGTTAGAAGCAAAGACTAGTAACTCCAGGCATTGCGTTCCTGCACAAAAGTCCATTATATGTAAAATCACATTATTTAATCATCACTGTCAGCTGTCCAAATGATGCTGTGTTTGTTCTCTCTCTGATCAGAGTCAGTAAACTCCAGCCTTTAGGCTCCCCAAAACTGCCCTGCTTGCTCAGCAGTTACTCCGTCTGAAGGGCTTTGTATGCCAGTTACTGTCCTGTCTAGTCTAGAAGCTCAAGTGTGTATCTGCCAGCTGTAAATATTTAAAGAGAACCAAGTAGCAGGACCAATAAACCTTAAGAAGTTCTTACATTGTAGATTACCTTTCCATATGATGCTGAGAGGGCTCAACATCAGTAAGCTGCTCTTCATTCCTCTGCTGGAGGAGCTGGTGTGATGGGTTCAATAAAATGTATCATCTCTTTCTGTTAAAATCTTAGAGAACTCTGAGGAGAGAGTACTGGAAGTAGAGATGGATTTTCTTTATCCGATTGTCCTTTGAGGAGCTGCAATTTCTGCTGAGTTTTACCTTAGACAGTTACACAACAATCTAAAAGAAGTTGGGGCTGCTAAGCAGCTTCCTTTCTGTCACAAAATTTCCTGTGTACCAGAACCATCTTCCTTCTGTCTCCCTGTTACTGCCCCCATAATATGATGGATGTTTAATTTGTTTTGCCTGAACTTGTTGTTTTGATATTCTCATTTGTATTGTAGTTGGATGCAAGTGATTCAAGCTCCAGCAGCAATCTGTCACTTGCCAAAGTTAGGCCAAGTAGTGATCTTAATAATAGCACTGGACAATCTCCTCATCACAAAGTTCAGAGAAGCATATCTTCTAGCCAGAAACAGCGGCGGTACAGTGATCACGGTGAGCAATTCTCATTTTCAGTGTTGCAGAATATAGTGACTTCCAGTTCTGTTAGGTTTCTGAATTTGTCTCCATCCCCCAAAGGTACGGAGGATGATAGCAGTGTAGCTCACAGCATGGTGGTTAAATGATTTACTGAATAACTAATATTTTTTTAAAAAATTGTTTTTGTTATAAAGCCTTCAAAACCAGCTTCTAGAGGAATGCTGGATACGTCAACTTAATTGTTTTCCTCTGCTTTGTGTTGTCCCTTGCATTCCTGACCATGCTGGGAAAGTCTTGTTACACAAATTGAAGAGAACGTTGCAACCCCCTTTTTCATGAAAAGCACAGCACTCCTCCCCCATGCTCTTGTATGTCTGTTCAGCTTTTGTTTTCTTCTGACACTAGTAGGTCAGCTTGTGTCTAAAACTTGAAGAAGAAATGTCAGTTTGCCAATATTTCTTGTTTCCTGTTTCCTGAGGGTAGTGTCACTTGATTGTCCTGTAGGAATTAAATTTGTAAGGGACAGTGACTCAGACCAACTTAGAACTCTTCTGCGTAATGAGTGTGCAAGATAGTAGCTTAGGGTTTTCTAAGTATCTTAATCATTTTCCTGCTCAGATACTAATTCATAAAAGGAGTCTCTGTTTAGGTCTACTTTTAAATACCTCAAGTGCATTTAGAGGTTGCTTTCCTTGGGAAAGTCTCCTGGGATGATGGTTACTGTGTTTTGTGATGCTTTTTAATATATATACACACACATATATTTTTATATATCTATAAAATATGTCTTAAATATATGTATTTGTATGTTTTTGTGTATATACATACACTCTTTGATTATTACTAAAACACTGACTACAAAATTGATGTATCTTGCTGTATCCTCTTCTGAGGAGGTGTGACATGGTGGAAGACACAATCCTGACATCCCCACAGGCTTTTCCCAGTATCCAGGAAACTGTTAAAGGAAGAGGGAGCTTGGGATTGTTGAAGGGGCTGCCTCATTCTCAGGTGTGCCAGAGCAGTTTTCTGTTCCTGGCACACCCAGGGAGGCTGGTGGCAAACCGCCACTGCTTCTGGGCTGTTCCAGGAGTCGGTGCTGCTGGTGGTTGAGGGTTGTGTCACCCAGGTACCTGTCTCAGGAGCCCGATTTTACCAGAAATTGGCTTGAAATAGTATATGCCAGCTTTGTGCTGCTAATAAAGGATTGTCTAGTTTGAATGAGTCAGTTACTTGTTAGGTGTCTTTAAGATGACTCTAAAGTGTTTTTCCTAACAAGCCCAAACCAATGTCAGTACTCAAACACCAGAGACCTCCATGAAATTCATAATTCTTTCATGAAAATCAAGTAGTATCTTCATCTGGAAAGGCTTTTGTTTTTCACAATATTTTACTGTCTTCTGAAATACACATATTTTGATAATTTAAATAATTACTTTTTTGCAACTCTGATTCCCAACCCAATTATCTTGATTCTCATGCATGAATACATTTCCGTTGTACTGAAAAACAGCTACTGCACTTCTGAGAATAAAAGTCCTTTTCTTGTTTCTTATGTTCATGTTTTTAAGCTGGACCATCCATCCCCTCAGTAGTGGCTTATCCCAAAAGAAGCCAGACTAGTACTACAGACAGCGACCTCAAAGAGGAAGGAATTCAGTCAAGAAAATCCAGCAGTAGTGCTGTTGCAGGAAGAGGAATTGCACCAGCTAGTCCAATGCTTGGAAACGCCAGCAATCCCAATAAAGCTGATATTCCTGAACGTAAGAAAAGTTCGGCTGTTCCTAGTGTAAGTAGAAATTCTTATTTATCAAAACTGTGAAATGTTTTTGAGGGGTGAAAAAGTGTTAAATAGTAATTTATCAGTGGTGCTGATTGTACTTTTCATTCATCAAGAGTAAATGTAGATATGTCATATGGTTGCCTTTTTTTCCCCTGCATCAGTCAAGTTATCCCAAGCTATTCAAGTTACCTTTTGACATTCCTGAAGTAAAAGATACTAATAATTAGCACTAGTACCTATTGGTGAACAGACATAATTTGGGTATTAAAATATCATTAAAAAAAAAAAAAGGAAACAACTCAAAAGCTGTCCCCTGAGATCTCGCATGAGTTACTTCTGTCAAAGAATTTAAGTTCTGTCACCAACTACTCTTCTGTGGCCTCTGTACAGAAGAATGAAATCTTTATTACACTGTCTGATAGTTTCATGTATTTAAGGAGCCACCTAATCTTTGTTTGCAAACGGGCAATTCCAAGTCATAGTTAGGTATATTAAGATTATCAAAGAAATGTAGCTCTAAAAAATGTTCCGAGGTGGTTTTCAACCTGTATTTAAAAGCAGTTTATCCTTGTGGGTTTCCCCCACCTGCCCCTAAACCTCAACAACAGAAAAAACACAGTAGGGTGCATAACTAGTGAATTTACAGGGTTGAGCAGTAGGCAGTGTGCCAAGAGAAAGAAAATCCTTTGTTTGGTTTGGCTTTAACTTGTATACTCTGTGGTGCCTCCCTCTGAGGCAAAATTGGAAATCCGTTTTGAGCCTTGAGCCTTGTAACATTTCATTTCTAAAACTCTGGGATTTTGTATTGAAAAACTCCCTTCTTTTCAGAAGAGATAACTTCCCAGTCCTTTATTCAACTTGCAATGGAGTGATTTTTTTTATTTTTTTTTTTTCTTTTAAACTTATCCAACAAAGCTGTCATATTTGGTCGTATACTCAGCATCGTTACTTACAAGAAATGAGAACAGAACTTCCTGAGCTCATAGCTATCTGACAATCTGAAGCAAAAGAAATAAAACAAGATCTGTTTTACCTTATTTGCTCTGTATTGACAGTTGGCTCAGTGACTAATAGCGACTTGGCTGGAGGGTTTTAGCCACAGATGCCTTGGAAAGACACATCTTCTACTGTAGCAGCTGTTATTTGTAAATGTGTGCAGGAGTTACATCATTTTGGAGGACCCTTTTCTGATTTTTGTGGTCCCCTCCCCTTTCCCTTTTTTTTATCAGTCCAGAAACCATTCAGATTTAGTTTCTTCTTACGTAATAGTTCTTAGCTACTGAGTCTCAAAATGGTAGGATAATCAAGTCAGTTTTGTCCTACACAGGACTTCACTCTTTATTGTCTAGTGCCTTATTCAAGAGCTCTGCATCACAGTTACAACATATTTTATATGTACTATCTTTAGTATTTTGATCTGCTGTTCTATACCACTCCCAAGTCCTAGGAATTTATTCCAGTAGTCTTAATTCAAATTTTGTACTACTGTAGTTGAAATAAAATATGAGCTCATGACCATAGGATACTTCTCTTTTCTGATTCAGTGAGCAACTGATCTTTGACAAGCAGTGGTGAAAGGTGGTGAACATGGAATCAGACTTACTTGTGATGCCACTCAATTAATTAGTGTTTAAAATTGTTTATAGCTCTTCATGTCAGACAGTGCAAACTCTTTTTTTTTTTTTTTTCCCCTCTGCTGGAGATTAGTCTTTTGCTTCCTGGCTGTTGGGGATGGAGGGAAGCGCTGACTTTTTACACAGTTCCTGGAACCAATTAGGGAGTTTTATTGCTTAGAGTATAGACATGGATCTAGAGGGAAAAGCAAGGATGTTGGAGTTAGCATATTGTCCTGAAATTGAAAAAAAGTTTGAAGTTTGAGGTGGAGAGTTTGTGTTCTCACTGAGCACTTAAGTCCTAAAATCAGTAATATGATAGAGAAAGTCCCTGACAAGACAGAAAAACACTGCCTGAAAACAATTACTACTTTGACAAATACAGTGAAAGTAGTAGAACTGGTCCTTGCTGGAGACCCTTAGCCAGTCATGTACTGCTCTTATTAAATAACAAAGCTTACAAGCAGCACTTAAGGGTAAGAGTTGTATTTGTAGAGCAGATAGCTAAGTCTGGGATTGGAGTAGGGGGCTCCAAGCTGTACTTGTAAAGTTGACAAGAGAGTTTAAACTCTTGCAAACTAAATAGTTCTGCAAGCTGAACAAGTGCATGTCAAAAAATCTTCAAGTTTATAGGGCAAATACCAAACTGGTAACAGAAACTTATTACAGGGATTGCATACTTATCAGCAACTAATAACTCCTTGTTTTAATAACTCCTTGTTTATTACTCACAGCTTTGGATTTCTCCTCGATGTTTGTAATAGGGCTGCCCCAGAGCCCTTAGTATAGCTTTTAGAAAACTGGAAGAGGAGAATAGGTGGTATGTTTGGAAAATCATTTAGGACCAAAAAAACATACCAGTGCTCTTAAGTAAATAGGCTGGTTCATTACTGTACGTCAGAAGCTGATTCTTGCAAGTTTTTAGTCCATCCTTGTGTTGGTGTCTCTGAATGTGAAAACAGCCTGCCTTAAGCAGTGGACACAAGACTCTCTAGGAAAAGAGGAGGACTCTGTGCCGCAGATTCATCCTTTGTGCTGTAATTGGAGCTCGTGCATATGCTCAGAAATCTCAACATGCACTTTTGTAGTGTCAGCACCTCCTGCAAAGGCTGATGATGCCATGAGGATGAACTTACGCTGCTAACCCAGACCCTAGGGGTTGTCATTCCATTAAGGAGTGTGTGATGCTGTTGATACCAGTTTCAGGCTTCCTGTGCTGTGCACTCAGGCAATTCAGTCATGTCCAGAGATTAATAGTCTGTAGACTGGCTGAACAAAAAAGTCGTAGCTGAAGAACTTCCCTGATGAATCGTGAAAGGACATACTCTAAAGAATGTAAAGGTCCCAATACTAAGACTGTATTATTTCTCAAACTGAAATCTAAAAGCTTGAAATGCTTAAATGTCCTCTCACAACCTCTGAAATCTGAGCCAGAAAAAGATGTATATTGATCCTTCTGTCTTTGCATTCCAGAAAGAGCTGGGAAGGTGCATCTTTAAAGTCCTCTGATTTCACGTATGATTACCAAAACTTTTCCCCTCCCAAACCTGAAAATTCATAGTCTTTAAAGTTTGATCCAACACAGAGATTGCTGTCTTGTCTTTCTAGATATGCAACATCACAGTACATTTTAATGTTATGTGGTGTCTTCTCAAGGGAAGCAAACACAATGTTCTAAGGGAGCAGGTGGAAAAAAGGAAGCCACCCCTTATTGTGCATATTTCCCACCAGAAAAACACTGTTGAATATTCTAGGCACCTCATTCTCTATTAAGTTCAGGAACAGAGGAAAAAATTACATGCAGATATTAACACACAACATTTTACTGTACCACTGGCTTGCAAGGGCTCCACAAAGTTTCTTGCACAGCGTGACCTCTCAAGAACATGTACACAGAACTTCACCTTAGGTGCACAGCTTTCATTGCTAGCAAGTTTAGTAAAGAAAAGAGGGCTTGCACAACGATGAATATCAGAGGAAAGTAGAAGAATCAATTTGGGGTTTTTTAAATAGACAGATTTGAAGACAAGGGATGTGTAGGGAGTAAAGTACAAGGAAGGTTCCAGAGGACTTCTGCTGATGCTTGGCACATGCCTATCGCTAAGGAATATCCAGTGAAAAACACTCGAGAACCCTTGAGACGACTACATACATCTTATGTTCTGCTAATCTGAAATAATCTTTGTACTCTCTGTACTTTTTAACACCAGGAGTTTGCGCAGTTCACTTTTTCATTTCTGTTTGTACGTTCACATGAAGGTGTATAACAGGTCAGCAATCTTTTAAACAAACAAGATGGCGTCATTGTTACATCTGCAGCTCGGGTTGTGTTGCTTGAGACTCCTTGTATAACAAATATTTTGCCTTAAGGTACTGGAGGAGCTTTTGCTGGTAATTAAGAATGCTCCACTTTAACAGTTTTATTTCAGGTTTGGAAACAAAAAAGGTTTGGCTACTCTCATTTTGTGCTTGAACATGTTTTTCCCCTTTTTTTTTTCTTTTTTTTTTATCCTTATCCCCATGATTCTCTGCTGTGACCATTTATGTGAAACCTTTTCTTAATGCTATTTTTAAAATCCGCTGAATTTCCCTTGTCTGTCATAGCAGTAATTCTTCAAAGAGCTCCAAAAGGTTAGTTGAGCATGAAGACCCCTGCCTGATTTTTAGTGGCCATCCTTACTCAACATGTGCTTATCCAGGTGCTGACCAGTCATTCCCTTAAGCCAGCCTTCTCCAAGACTTTCCCCAGCAGTGATGTTTAAAGTTAATAGCCTATTTTCCTTCCTGCTTTGCCCCGTGATCCCTTTTCTTTAAAGAAAATTTTTAAAGGTTTTTTCCATTGTCCAACCATATGCAGTTTCCTGTGTTATGTTCTTGGGTTGGGGAGCAAAAAATATAAGGCTTGCCAGCTTTTACTTCCTCTACAGCCTGGGGGTGCATGTTTATCTGGCCACCATGCTTTTCCTATAGTAATTGCATCTAACTTACTATAATTCTGTTATCTGTGAATTACCTAGCTGCTCAGTCGTTCCTGGAAAATTGACCGCCAACTTGGGCATATCTCCACCCTCTTTCTCTGTAAAGACAGAGGCAAAGTAATTCTATTTCTTTTCTCCCCTCTAAATTAAGGTCTGTAGTTTAAATTCCCCTGGTTCTCTTGTCCTCAGTGTATTATGCTTTTATTTAAATGTGTATTTTTAAAAAGTCTTATTAAAATTCTCTGCAATTTGTCTCTAATTTGACTTACTCTTCTCTGTTTTCAAAATGTGCCTAGTGTTTTATAGTATTTTAATATTTAAAAGTCCGTGTTTACCTTCCCACTGAATTTTACCACATTTGTTTCTTAAGTCTTGGATTTCCTATCTTGTTTAAGAGTATGATTTTAACTTAAAAGGAAAATTCTAGAATATGCAAGTGGTAAAGTATTTCAAAAATAGGCTATAAAGACATAGGCTGTCCAGATGCAGGTGAATGCTATACATGCTGAGAATTTTTAATTCAGAACATTGGTAATTAAAACTGAAAGCAATGTTAATTTTGTGCCATCAACACGAAATAAGAGAACAACTTGTTAGAATTATTTTTTTCTTATTGCAGTATTCCTTAAAAAATAATGGAAGGTGTTTGTATATTGACCTATTTAATTATTGTAAGTTTTATAACTGTGTAGAACTATCATGAAGTAAAACAGCATTTAATTATATGTAGACTTAACCTCAGAAAAGCCTTTTGTGTGTAATAACAAACCTATGTTTTTTAATTGTAGAATAATACTGCCCCTGGAGCAATGACACGGCGCAACACATACGTTTGTAGTGAAAGAACCACTGCTGATAGGCATTCAGTGATACAAAATGGCAAGGAGAACAGGTATATGAAGTGTCTTCCTATGGTGTATGTCCCTTGTCTTCACATTTCCAAAAAAATGTAATGCCTAATATAAAAATCAGTAATTTTTTAGTGTAATTCTTAATGAAAGGTGAGTACAGATCTTTGGTTATGGAGCATCTGTAAGTATGTTGGGTGCTTTTTTCCTATACATAATTAATACAGTCTTTATACTTAGAATGTGAAAGGAAGTTCCTAATTTCTGGTTAAATACACCTCTTGTTTGTACAGCCTTCATCTTAAATCAGTTAACTACTGTAGACGAACAACATATACTTGCAGAAGAGGCCTGTTTAGTGTCAGACTACAAAATCCCTCTCTCTTCCCTTTTTACATTTACTCTAAACTGTGCTTTGTTGGGATTATTTGGAATACCATTTTTTCTACAAAGTCTCAGGGAGAAAGTTTTTTCTGAGCAAAGATGTAACAGTGATAGGCCATTGTCTTGGACTGATAACATTCCTTACTGATGTTCTTGTAGTCTAATTCCTTCCCAGTATTTACAGAACTCATCTTGAGAAGGGAAGCACTGATACCTCCATATTCTGAGTGAAAATGGTCAGAAATAACAGGTTTCCTCTTTACTGAATGAAAGCCTGACTGGAGCATGCAGTGGAATTGGAGTTATCTGGTTCCTGTGTTAGCACTATAGCCACATCTACTGCCATCCTCCCCTGAGTACTGAAGACTGAGGAGAGCTATAGAAAATAAATGTAATAATGAATGTAGACATTAGGTGTAGACTAATAACACTTGTGAAGAGTACCACCAATTTTTCTGGCTGGCTGAGGTGTTTGCAGTTCCAACTCAGTGTTCTTCACAGAATTTTATTGGTCTCAAAAGCTGGTAATAATTAAGTAGCTGACTGTTGCCAGAAGAGCACCCAGATAGCTGAAACTTAATCAAAATACTTAAGGTTGGAGGAATGTGTACCTTTTTCCCACTCTTCCCAGTTTTCTCCACCTGTTCCTAATTTTTTGATATATTGTAAAGGGTGACAAGAAAATACCTTTCTTCTAGCTTGTGTTGAAGTTGGTGAAAGATCTGCCATTTTTTGCGCAGTATTCTTCCCCTTCCTTTTGGCAGTTTATAAGGAAGAGTGGAAAAGTTGTGACATTGAATGGAAAGTCTGTCTATCCCTTGTTTGAATTCTGGACCCTAGTGATAAAGAACATGATTTTGACCCTGTCTCTTCCTCCTAGCTTTCTGCAAACTGAAAGTGAATAAGGAAAAAGTCAGGTGTAAGTTTGAAGAGTGCCAAAAGTCTAGCTTGGCCAGCTGGGCCTGCAGTCAACTGTCTTGTGAAGTACAGCACAGCTACTTGGTACTGTCTCTTAGTGTGTCTGTCAGCCTTCATTGGTTAGTCCTTGTTAATGTTACCAAGTTTGTTTAGATTAAAGCTCACCATCCTTTCTTTGATTTGATATGTTGATAGTTTCTTTTCTTTCCAAACTCTTTTTGAAAATTGAATCTTTCTGTCCAAAATAGTTTTGATCAGATTTGATTACTTGATTTCTTGGGTTTTGTTCATCTTTAAACTAATAGCTTTGCAATATCTCATCTACAATTTATTTATTACAGTTTAAAAAGTTGTTATTAGATATTGTTTACTAGGAATGCTCAAGCTTCAGATGTCCCGTTAATTTAGGAGTAGCTTCATACTCCCAAGGAGCTGTCTTGAGGTTGTTATTTTTTAATCCAGCTTTGAGTTTGTCAGCAAACTGCTGTCTTTCTGATTCGTGACATAAGGGGATTAAGCTCAAAGTTAACATTGAGTAGTACTTGGTAACTCTGTTAATTCTATTTTATATCCATAATTGGTTATCCTTATATAGTTTACCTTTTATTGTCAATACGGTATCCAAACATAATTTGCTTGTCCTGCAAACTTCAGCCTGATTTGGGTCGTTTGAAATGTCTGAACATTTATACTTTCACTGTCAGGAAAAAAAAAAAATCTTTATAGCTTTTATTGCATATTTTCGGTTACTGTTTTTGTTACTCTTTATAGAGGGTTAAACTGGGAAAAGATAATGAGAATGAATTGCCAGTTGTCTTACAGTTGGAGACTTGTAACTGTCTGAAGTGCTTCTGTAGTAAACTGCGCATTCATTTTGGCACAGTTTCAGAATTGCTGTGATTTGGCACAGAATTCAGAATTTATGTCTGAATAGGTTTTGTTGCTGTAACTGAGCAAAGGCTTGACTGGTCACATGAAATACAGGGACCTTTACTGCAGGCTAAATCAACATGGCTATTGATGGGACTGACTCTTCAGAATGAGTTCTGCCTGCCTTCAGGTGTTTCTGTAGTATCTCTAATATTATTGTACTCTGAACTTGGCAGAAAATAACTTTAGAAACTTTGTAGTGTTTTTAATTCTGTGAAGCAAGATCAGAAGTTGAACCTGGGCTTTGTATAAATCCAAGATTTTGTTAAAAATGCTTTCTATGCTTTTGAAATGTCTATTGGTGGCAAATGTTAAAGGCAGGAGCAATTACTATAAATTATTTGTTACAGGTTGGATTTTAGGTTTTACATAGCCAGTCAGATACTGACTGTGACTCGGTGAAAACTTGGGAGACTTGCCTTAAAATGCAAGATGCGTGGATTTAAAGTCTATTCTTTCTGTAGAGAAAGTGTTAAAATGTTGTTTGTTCTATCTTGCACATTGAATTCTGAGAGGGTGCTATTTTTGAAGGTACAGAAACTTTGCAGAATTGATAGTCAGCTAGTGGACTTGATGTTGGAGAAACTAGTCATGAAGACCCCATGCCAGACTGGTGGACTCAAAGGGGTTTTAAGTCTCACATCCCTACTTTAACACGTTGTGTGGCTGACACAGGCATTCTGCTGGAGATGGCTCTGTTGGCTTTCCTCCAAAGCCTGAGCATTAATTAACGCGCTTGGGGACTCATGAAACACTCTTCATAATGATAGGCAATTGCTTTAAATCATTTGTAACACAAATGATTTGCAACAGCCTCAGATTTTTAATAAGCCTTGGCACTAATTGGTGAACGCGAACTCGCTGTTTCTGTGCTCCCAGGCTAATAATGCAAGGAAACTGATTTCTAGCAAAGCTTCAGAGAAAGCGACACAGATGCTGTAATATGTGCTCTGGTACTTTACTGGTGCCTTTAGCTATCACATCTTTGGAGGCAGGTGACTAAATAAAACCTGGGTTTAATGTGTTATAAAACTAAATTCTTTCTCCTTTATCTTTTGCAACAAATTGAGATGGAAGGAGTTAGAAGTGCTTGAGAGGCTAGTGACCAATTATTTGGGGCTTGCTTGACCTAAGGGTATTGCTTTTGAGATGAATGTTCATTTCCTTACAATTTCTTAATACCCTGTGATAACATAAAAGCTGCATCATATCGCAGGTTTTGTTGTAGTAGTACTTGTAGTTGTCATCATCCTGCTGGATCCAGCAGTGTAAAGAGATGCACGCATGACTCAGATGAAGGTTTTTAGATTCTGAAAAGTTAAAAATAAAACAGAGAGGTAGATTTTGCTAACTGTTTTAGCCAGCAGTTCTGATATCTGAGCTGTGAGGTGTTTTCTACTACTGCTTGGGGAGCTAAGTCTGAAAAGTGGGTCAGCTGATAGTTGCAGCTGGACTATCATTTTCCTCTCCAAAGTCTGACATACCAGAAAGAGATAACAGGGCTTGAATTTCAGTATGTGTAACCATGAAGTAACTTGGAAGTGAACATGCAATGTCATGAAAATATCACTGAGAAGTACAGATTTCTAAACCTCGAACAATAGTTCTGAATTACAATTGCCTTACTTTTAAAGCAAATTTAATATGAATGACATATGTTGCTGTAGCCTGAAAGGTCCAATAGATCTTGTGGCCTCTCAGGTTTTTTTCCCATCCTGATTACTAATGTGAAGGGTACAAAGAATATTTTGGCCCAGAGAAAGAGAAAGACTTCATGCTCCTATTTTAACCTGTTACACAGCTGGCAGCTTCATGGCCATTCTGCTAGGACAGCACTGTGTACCTTCCTTCAAAGCCTGAATGGTAATTTGGAGAATTTAAGGTTTGTGGCCGAGCAGTATGAGATGCTCTTCAACAGCCATGCCTCTTTCTTCAGAGAACACCAAGCGTTACTTGTTGCCTCCTACATGTACAGGTTGATTAGTAGTAGCCTTTTTGTGTGGGCCTCTCTGGACTTTTTAAAGATCATGATGTTCTTATCAATTGTGCCTGTGAAGTCCCTCAGTTATCAGATGCAGATCAAGATTTGACAGCTTGCCCAATTTACACTGATTTCTTTTAACATGGATACATTCTGAAAACACAGTATTTTACTGCAGTAATGGAGCTATCATCAGCCTTTCGTGTCTTTTGAAAGTGCAGTTGGTGGGGATTTTTTAATGCATTTTTTAATGTTAAGAGCAATACAAGTTACATCAATGCCTTGTATTAGTGCTTTGGCACAGAACACTCAGTTACACAGGTTCTGTACATCGAGGAGGGTTATCACTGCAAACTAATGCTAATGGTAAGAGAATGATCACAGATGTCAAGTGCTATAGTAAGGATGCTTTTTAAGGGGAGCGTAGGGCAGTTACTACTGTTTACATAGAATAGGGCTGTTAGAGTTCATGTTCTTTGATAAATCAGTTAACAGAAGGAAAAGTTTGCTTTTTTTCTATGCAGTAGTTTGTTGTTGGTCCATCATGCTCTTCTTTCTGCCTCTGCCTGAACCCAAACCCCCTCACAGCCTGACAGAAATGTTCGCTTACGCAGCTAGCCCTGCTTCAGTTTGTACTACATCCTTCTCCAGTGTTCGGCTGCGACATCAGAAGTCGATGTCCATGTCAGCCTCTGTGCACACGAAGATGATGTTGCCTCCAATAGACAATGGCGCAGATAACTTCAGGCCTATGTAAGAACCTGAAATCGTTGTGAAACTAACTTATACCCACTGCTTCTTAACTTTGTGCTGTGGAATTTTAGTCCTAGATTGTTCTAGTATATATTGCCCACAAGATGTGTGTTTCCTCATTTTTTTTAGTCTTGTTTACATTTGTCTTGTGGTGTGTCAGGCTGTCTGTGACATAATCCTGCAATAAGGAACCTTAATTTTTTTATTAGTGTTAGGAGTATTGGACATTCCCTATTGTCAAAGTTTGTGGGAGACTTTAACTGTGTATCCTGAAGGACTTTGCTACTTGGAACGGTTGTAGAGAATTTTGTGTTGGATATTTTCAAATTAGCAAGATTTTCAAAGATGAATATCTAGAATGTGGAGGGAGAGACATTAAAGTTACCTATTCCTTCTCTTTCCCGGGAGGAAACTTTACTCGTCTTACTCTTTTATCAGTCTTCTCAGTGAAACACTGTATGCCTAGTTTATCTGGTCTTTTCCAGGATACTCCTGTTGCTTTTTTCTGCCTATGTAGGTTTCTGTTTCGGCAGCCTTTTAATCCTAACTTCTTACAAGTTTTGATTCCATACGGTGCTGTAATAATGTTGATATTTCCAACCCTGGCCTATATAAAAGTGTCTGCTTATGCTTTACTGTAGAACATAGTGTTTTGTGTCTCCTGCAGAACCGTAGTGCTTCTGTAAAGAAGTTCTAGCATTGTTTTTTGTTTTCTGCTCTAGCACTATTCCCGATCAAAGAACTCCCGTTGCTTCAACTCACAGCATTAGCAGTGCAACCACACCTGATCGTATTCGTTTCCCCAGAGGAACGGCTAGTCGGAGCACTTTCCACGGCCAGCTCAGAGAGCGACGTACCGCAACCTACAATGGACCGCCAGCCTCCCCCAGTCTGTCCCATGAAGCAACACCACTCTCTCAGACTCGGACCAGGGGTTCCACTAATCTATTTAGTAAACTAACTTCAAAACTAACAAGAAGGTAAGTCTCTTAAAAAGGTAATGCAACGTTTCTTTTTCATCAAGTAGTAGAAATACCTAGTAGTTCATTGCTTAGGTGGTTTTGTTCACATGCTCTGATTAATGGCTTAACAATATCTGCAGCTTAAAATGCACTGGCTTATGATTTTTTTCATAGTTCTTTTTGGTTACGCTTCTGTAACCAGAGTCGTTTTTATCTCATTTGATTCAACTGCTAAAAAGTGAAACAGTTTGGTCTGTGCTGTTTCTTCTGTGCTCTTCATTCGCACGTCTGAGGTACAAATGTTGCAGAGCTGAAACATCGCAGCTCATTTCGAAAGTTGCTCACTCTGACTGCGTGGTCTGTCAGTAGATGGCATAAACTACGATCCCAGATTTGATACTTAATGTAGTGTTAGAAGGTCAGATTTAGTTTCCCAGTCACTTAGGCTGTCAGTGTTTCCAGAGTAACCTTGCTGGCAACACGTGAATAGAAATACCACAGGTGAAAGAGTAGGGGCAGGAGACAAAAGCTTCTTGTGGCAGTAGTGCTAGCATAGGTCATTTTAAAATAATGGCACTACTGTGGTTTCAGTCCAGGCAGGAGTCTGGTCAAACCTTGAAAAACTTACTCCAGTTTTGACCTTTAGTTCATGTGCAGATTCTTGTTTTGGTGTGAAGATGTGTTGGTGTAGCCAAAGCCTGGCTTAAACAGGTGTTGCTCCTGTGCTAAGTGTCTTTATTCTAATTCTAGTTTCAAATCCATGTGTGATTTAAATTTGTTCCTACAAACCCTAAAACTGAAAACCACCTATTTTCCTTCTGTATTTGAAACCTGCCAGTTCACATACTGCATACTTCAGACCACTCTGATAGCCACAACTCGTGTTTGCAGAAGTGAGGGTTCGTTTGTCTTTGCCTTAAGATAATCTCCATGCTTTTGTACCCTCCTCATCATGTCAGTTCTTTTTAATATATCATTCTGATCTTGGCCTGCTTGCTTTTGTTTTAGGTTTATATCACATTAGCACCAAGCCGTTTCCTTCCTGTCTGTTCTGTGACTATACATTCCTCTCTCTCAGCATCTTCCTTATAGTCTCCCATTCTCAAAAAATAATGCTAAGCCAAACTCCAGTTTTTCACGACTGGATGATTTCAATTTAGGGAGTGAATTTCTTTAAAAATGTAGAATTCTTTCTTTGAAAAATGAAAACATGGCAGCCTAGCTTTTGATAAATGTTTAACTCTGCTCAACTCTCTGCAGCTAACACTTCCCTGGGAAATACTGTGCTGTATGAAATCTTTTTTTTTTTTTTTTTTTTCCCATGTTGAGATAGAGCAATAAAAGACTAATTTGGATTTTTTTTTTTTTAAGAATTAAGTCATCTGCTTTCTGTCAAGTGAAGTCTTAATCAGACACATCCTTTTGGCATATCTTTCTTTCTGTACTTTTGTTTGTAATATACTTAATTTTCCATCTGATGTTCCAAATGTGGATGCTTAAACTGTGAACATGTAAGCTTTTCATTCATTTGTTTAGGCAGCATTCAAACTTCTATCGTTACCTCTGAGTTCCAACTTTTGCAGTGCAGTGTGACTTTCTTGAAGATGTTTTTCCTCACTACTTTTGGCAATAGTTTAAATTCCATCTGGACTTGATTAAATAACATGCAGTTGTAACACAATAGTATTGTTACGGATGGTTAAGTTTGCATTTGGAGGGCCTCTTACAGTTGGGGCTCTGTTACACTGGGTGCTGTACAAAGCACTAGCGAGTTGGATAGTGCCATGAAAGGATATGATTATGTTTCTTCTCTTCAAATAAATTTAAAAACCCTTAAAACCTGTGTATTCTAGCATTTTCTATGGGGAATCAGAATCCTTTTGGTTATGAGCAACATATGTTCTGGTGTAGGCAATTGTTACAGCTTCTACCACTAAATTAACTAAACGTTTAAGACAGGTTTTGGCACAACGTGGCTGACAATGTTATGAAGGAAAGAAGAAACCTAACTAAAGATACTCCAGATCTAATTATAATAGTTACTGATTTTTGATTTCTATTTGAAATACATGATGAAAATCCAAACATATTTTTATGTGACCTTGCAGATTATGAGTTTTAAAGTGTTTTGACACCAGTACGTATTTTAATGCGCAATATCTACTGGTGGCATACTTCCCAGAAGAAATAAGTTTGCAGGTAGTACTGCTAAGAATTAGACTCTTCAGACCCTAAGTCATCTGCCTAATCTCAGAATGTATTGAAGTGTAATTTCATTGTGCATTTTAAATGAGATCTTTTTGCATGTTTCACTCTAAATGGCTTTTTCGATTTATTTTGTACAAAACTTTTTGTTAATTATTATTTTGGCTTAATTTCTTTTAGAAACATGTCATTCAGGTTTATCAAAAGGTAGGATTTATTTATATTTAAAAAAAAGTGGCTCCTGCAATTAACAACAGATTTGGCTTTCTAGCCTTGGTTTTCTGAAAACTAAACTTTCTGCTGAGAACTAAATACTTTCTTTCTTGAGAGGAAAGCATAGAATAAATCCATTAACTCGTGATGATACTTAAGAATCTGTGGCACCTGTATAACAAGATGCTAAGCATGCCTTGTGAATTCTTCTTTCTTTGATAGAGTTGGTAGTACCAAAGTAATTCTGTTCTCTGTACTAATACACTTAGCATGCTTATATTTGAAGAATGAGGTGTTTGATAACAATGATGAAAGTATAAACAAAACATAAGTTTGCAAGCAAATTAAAGGTAAGTGATGCTAAATTTTTGTTCTCTTATCTCTTTGTTTTATGATATTAAAAATCAGTTGGAAGTTTTGTCTACAGTTGATACAACAGAAAGCAAACTGAACATGGTTGTGAGTCTAACAGTTTTGTATGAAAGATGGCATGCAGATACAATGGCTGTGTATTTATTTTTAAATGGGATGCATTTGCTGAAATGCAAATAGAGCACTTCAGTTATAAACAAAGTATAACATCTATGCAAATTTATTAACAAAATGCAAAAGCTCCGGAGTCTGGTTCACATTTCAAGCCCAAAGGTTTACAGTTTGGGAATGAATCAAGCTGCCATGTATCTTGTTAATCCACTATGACTAATAAAAGTTGGTTATACAATTTTGATCCACAGGTAAATTCTCCAGTAGAATTTTGTAATACTCTGTTTAGTTGTATCTTAGAGCTTCTTAAAGGGTGGTACTTTCAGTTTCGAACTGCTGATCAAAAATAGGGAGATGGGGCCAAAACCCAGACATCTGTTTTAACTTTCAAAATGCAAGGCCATGCATGTGACTGTAATTTGAAGTTTGTCAGACCATTTAAATGAAATACTTAGATTAGGGAGACCTGAGATACGTAAATTGATGCCTGAATTTGTGTTTAGTATGTACAGTCCATATCTGAAGGTTCCCTCCCCAATTAAATGAGTAAACTCCATGCCACGGTAATAATAATCAGAGCTCTTCCAAACATGACTATGTTTAGAACTGGTGTTGGTTGGGTTGGCTGGCATTGTCACAGCTGTCTTGAGAAAGGAACATGTACCAACTGTTAGTTAAGGAAAGAAACCCTCCAACACAGCATACAGATGACACTGAGCAGCAGCAGTAGTTTTAACCCCTTGTGTACCATGAGCTCTGGGGTACATAACACCTTGTAAGAGGGAGCTTTTGTCTCTCTCTAGTCACGTTGCATTTAAAACAGAGGATTGTGATTTGTGCAGCCTCCACAAACAACTGGATGCATATAAGTTTGTTACACTGCTGCTCCGAAGAAAGGTGGAAAATGCTAATATGAGTACAGTTTTAAACTAGAAGGTAACTGTTCAAATTTGAGACTTACAAAATTATTTTTAAATTACCTTTTTTAAAATTTTCCTTTGACTTGGGGCCAGAAATCTTATACTATTATGGAAATAGCTGCTACAGCTTCCATGGATATATGTCTTTTGAGTAAGAGATTTGCAAAGTCTTACACCACCTACACAGGACCAGACTATGCTTTTTAAATTCTGTTTTAAGTGTGTGTGGTGTCCCTCCATACCTGATATGTATGTAGGTACAAAATTAAATTGAAAATGTTGGGGGTTTTGGCGATTTCTTCTTGCTTTATATGCTGTGAATCTTACCTAAGCTCACTGTCTTTGATACTGAAAGAACTACTGTAACCCAATAGCACATATATATAGTAGTGCAGCATCATTCTAGGGAGCTGAACAAAAGTAGATAATCAGTCACTCTTTTTTAAACTACCTCGGTACACAGAGGTATAAAATATCTCTTGTACCATGCACTGTCCTTGCCAGTCTGCACATTGTGGAAGTCTTAACTTTTTTTCTGACAGCAAAAATCACTTTCTGTGTTCTGGATTTTACTGCAGCATCTTTTCTCCATTTCCATGAATTGATCTTATTTTAGCATCTTGCACTTTTTGCTGTTTTTCCATATCTTTTTAGACAGTTTTCTTTTTGTTTATTTGGATTTTTAACACAGAGTGTACAAAGATGTAAAGAACAGAAAACACAGCCTAACTCATGACAGATGTGTGGAAACATTCTTATTTCTGAACGCCTTTCACAAGTAATAAAGGAGATGGTATATAGGCATTGCATGACAAACGAGAAAATAACTTCCCTGTATATTTGTTCCATTCTCAGGACCAAGGAGTGTCTTGGTCCATAAAATTAATTTATGTAAAAATACAAGCAAAAGCAGAAAATTTAGAGCATAAACTAGCAATTTGCAGTTCCTATAGGAGTGAAGATTGTATTAGCAGTGAGGAGGCCTCAGGGCTGCATCTGACTGGCAGACCTACCAAAACAATGCTGGCAGTGTACAGTAAACGACTGTTCCCAAATTGCCAGTGCTGGGCTGTAGAACTGGACCATAACCATCTTCTTGGTGAAGGAAAGAGCATCTGGAGAGCCTGGCACAGCTCTCCAAAGCTTGGCATGATGGCTCATATTTGGGGGTGCATGTCACCGAATGCAGTTCCTCGTGCTAAATGAATGGAACACTGATGCATGGAAAAACTGAACAAAATAAGGATTTTCTGAGAGGCTTCCGTGAAAGAGTATTTATTATTTCAAAGTGGTAGGTATTTTGTAAATAATTACTTTCCTTAGATTTAGAGTACACAGTGGTTTAGAAACTGAACAGTTAGGCTTAATTTCAGCCTGAAAAGGGTCTAAGGATCTCATTAGAGATTTTTTTTCTCCCAGACTTTTCTGGACAGATTCCAGTAACAGTAAGACTGCTCATTGTTGAGGAGACTGGTTATGTTCCCATTTCTGACAACCTTTGGCAAGTTTGGAGAAAAAAAAAAAAAAAACAAAACGCCACCAAAATCCATAAATGCTTGCAGCTCTTAACAAAGCTGTTGTCTTCCACTTCGTAGGAACACAGTAGGGTCTTTAAAATTCCAGTACTGTCAATTTTTCAGTTGTGCAGTGTCTTCAAACTTGTTGTTTGCTTTGCTCAGTAAAACGAGCCTTTCCCATATCATCTGAAAGGTGTGGATTTTTTCAGTTGGTACACATGGTGGTCTCTCCCTTCCCACCTACCCCCTTCTTGGTCCTACAGAGTTGTAAAGGATGAGTTTGCAGACTGTATATGCAGACCTTAAAAATCATCTTCCACCTTCTCTATACACCACAGATAAGTAGCACAAGACTTCATAAAAATAACTACCATTAAAAAGCCACTCTGAAGCACTAGAGTTAGTTGAGGACTAGTCAGTTGTTTTCTTCTCATTATCTTCCTTCAAAAAGGGTAACTGTTTTGCTCGTGACAGCTGTTGGTTAGTCAGTGGCACACGGTTCCTAGCCGAGAGCCCGTCACACCGTGTGCTGCGCAGTACCTCAGAGAGCAGGGTTCCAGTCGGGTGCTGCTGCGACAAGCAGCTCGTAGCTGAGTGACTGAACGCTTTCTTAGTTGGATTTCTATTGCAACAGCAGTGTGAATTTTGAAGGAGGAGCAGGCTCCGTAGCCTGTGCAGCGAGTGCTGCCACCGTGCCCCTCGCCGTGCCAGAACAGCCTGTGCCCCCACGAGAGAGGCTGCACGGTCATCTTACAAGCCTCACCACAACCCTCAAAAGGAAGGAAAGGAGGGAATTAAGCCTTGTAGCACCCCACACACCCTGATAGAAATACTGCTGTGAATCAAAAAATAAACTTACTGTCTTACATTCCAATCCTTAGACACCTGTCAACCAAACTTTTAATAATTTATGTTATTTAGTGAAGCCATGTGCTAGCTTAGAGTAGTCTTGGTCAGAGCCTTATAAAGGCGGGTTGCCTGCAAACAGAGTTAACACTGAGATGTTGAACCATGGTACTGCAATAATGGGAAGTTAGAGGAACATGATTTTCCCCTTAATTCTTCTTGATACTGGGTTTTTTTAAAAATGGTAGTGATCAGCAATGTAGCTTTAAGCAATGCAAGAAGGCAGAAAGTTTAAGGTTACTCTTGGATGTGGAAGATGCGTCAGTGTGGGAGTTAATAGGATGGAGTTACCACAGCTTGAGAAACCTTGGATTTACCTCTAAACTTTTGTTAAAACGTATATGCATCTTTTTCTTTCCCATTAAGGTGCTTGGTATTGATTAAACACCTAACACCTCAGATCTCATGCACATGCAAACACACAGGGTGACCAGACTTGTCTGTAAACAGGGGTTTTTCTCATATATATATTGTATTCCTAGATAAAACTTTTATTAGCCTAAAAATATTGGGAGTTACTTCTCTTTTTTTAAGTACTTACTAAATAATACAATAACTTCAGTACACTTTGTAACTTTAGTTTCACATTTTCCTGCTTTTAGAAGTTCAACTTTATTCAGTGAGTTAGTGTTCTGCAGCACTAACATATATAAACGTATATTGTAAAAATTACTTATGGTCTTTTTAAGAACTGTAGTTTCTAGAGTTCCATCTGGTTTGGCAATATGTTAGGTTCTGAATTTGGTCTAACTAACAAAGTTCTTTACATCTTTGTTGCTTTGTATTTTAACAAACCTTTGCTATGATTGCAGTATCTTTTAGCAACTACTCAGATATTGTATATTGTAGTGTAAGATTTGTCTTCTCTTTCCCACTTCCTTTTGCTTCTGCATTCTTTTCAATGAGGCTCCCGACTGAATATGAGAGGAACGGGAGATTTGAGGGCTCAAGGTGAGGGTAAAATTTTTGTTTAAAATGTTACTTAGGTGAGTTTGAACCTTTCTCCCCTTGGTTATGTGGCATAGTGGCTTCAGGCAGCAGCTTTTGTTTTGTGTAAGGCTTTAAAACTAAACAAAGAAGCATTTCTGTCTGCAAAATGGCTATTAAAGCACTGACTGACTTGGTTCTAAACTTTCATCTTTCCTGTTGCCTTTTCCCTTGTGTGTGGGTTTTGTTTTTTTTTTTTTTTGCGTTTTAGTTGTTATAATTTGCTGTTGTCTTGTAGATGTGTAGGTAAGTGGTCTCTAGCGAGGCTGCAAACGTGTGGGATAACCACTGAAGGGTGACAAGATACTTCTCATCTCCAAAATCACAGATAATTAAACAATATTTTTCACGTTATACTCTTCTTCCAAAATCTGCATATCAAAAAATACTGGAAATGATCAAACTTGTACTGATTCTGCCAATTGTTTTCATGTAGAAAAAGCTTTCAAAAATGAAACTAACACTGAATAAAAGTTGGTGTTCCCCCTGTCCCCTTACAGCCTTATTAAATTAAAACCTTAAAGTTAAGGGTTTCAATTACTCTAATTAGCAAAGTACTCTCTAATTGGCTTGATGAATATTATAACATCTGGCAAATCACGTAGCTGGATTTGACAGCATAATCCTGTAACTCTCACGGTTACTGGAAGTCTTCCTAATAGAAGGTAAAATTATGAAATAGGTTATCTTTGAGAAATATATTTAAGTAGTTTTGACCTTGCTATCACTTTTTATTTAACTTTTTCATAATTGCTTGCTTAATGGTGGTAGAAGAAAAGCATTGTATAACCAGAAATTCATTGCCAACTACTTTAAAGAGCAGCCTGACTTAATATTGTAAGTTGAATTCTGAAGCTCAACGTAAGGACCTAAACTGCATGGTTTGGGGTCAGTTAGGTTAGATATTCTCCTAAAATACTTAAGCATGACAGTCAATATATTTAAGTCTCATATCCTGAGGACAAGTAAATTTGAAGAGGTGACTGACAGCATGCAAATATTCATAAAGCAAATCTGTCGGGTTTTTTTCTGGGAGGTCCAAATGTAATTCCTTATTCTTTAGCTGTGTGACCACTGATTTTAATTGAAGTAGAAGAATCATTACAAACTAGAAATTTCTGGAACGTTTCCTTATCCTGTATAACTTTACCAAAGGAAAAGCTTTTTTTTATTAAAAGTTGCAGACTTGGGAAAGGCAGCCTCAATATTTTCAATATTTTGTGCTTTATGTCTTAAAACTGTGACAGTAATAATAACCCTCTCATTTGCCATCTTTACTAACAACTTTGAGGAGGTGTCTAATAGTGGCTTCCAGCTCTCCTTCCTGCATTTCAGCATCAAGGGCACTTAGTTGCATAGCTTGTGGCAGCAAAAGATTTCATCACTTTATCAGTCATTGATATGAAACAAATTGCTGGCCAACTCAGAGACAAAGTATTTCCTCCCTGTTGAAGGTAACCCCGATAACCGATCATGTGGTGGGTCTCCAGTGATCCTCTCGAGCACCAGCGCGGAAAGGCCCGAGTGCAGCCGAACCAGCCCAGAGCTGGGTGGCACTCGTTGGTCCCGGGGCAGTAGGTGGGTGACCCCGGAGAGGTCCCCCGGTCCTGCTGTCCTCCCTCCTGCTCGCAGCGAGCTCCTGGGGCCCTGCCCAGGCCCTCGCAGTGCTTGGGCTGCGGCGGGCTGCACAGGAGGAGGGGCAGGGGAGCCCCCGGGGGTCCTGCTTCGTGGGCTTAGCCCCGTTGCGTACGAGTGGGCAGCTCACGGGGGCTGGCACTCTTACGACCTGGGGGGAGGCACCCTTCTGTCACAAGTTGCTGCTATTTGAATGTTCCAGAAATTTCTAGCGCAGAGCTGGTGGGGTCAGCCGTCCACGTGGCCCGAGAATTAGGGGTTTGAGCAGAACCTGCCTTAAAATCAAGCGTGATGCATGCAGCTCTACCTCTGCAAGGCCATTTCGCACATGCTCCTGACGCCGGTGACTTCCAGTTGTGTCACCCGTCGCACCGTACCTCCGTTTCAGCCCCAACAGCTAGGGCTTTACCTTGACTGTGTGTTCGTACAGCAGCTGGGAGAGCGGGGCATTGCTCGCAGCCAGAGCCTCTAGATGCTGCTCTAATACCGGTAGTGTGCGTTGAGTGTTAGTTTGCTTCACTAACATGAGCCACAGAGAAGGTGGCCGGCTCTGCTAACTACTGAATTCCTGTCTTTCAGCCGCAATGTAGCTGTGGATCAGAAGGACGAGAACAAGGAAGCCAAGCCTCGCTCTCTGCGTTTTACCTGGAGCATGAAAACCACCAGCTCCATGGATCCCAATGACATGATGAGAGAAATACGAAAGGTCCTGGATGCCAATAATTGTGACTATGAACAAAGAGAGCGTTTCTTGCTTTTCTGTGTCCATGGAGATGGGCACGCGGAAAACCTTGTACAGTGGGAGATGGAGGTGTGTAAACTGCCAAGACTGTCCCTGAATGGAGTTCGCTTTAAGCGGATATCGGGAACATCCATAGCTTTTAAAAACATTGCTTCCAAAATTGCCAATGAGTTAAAGCTGTAACAAGAAAAATAGTTAAGTTGTAAATTAGTTAGCAATTTCAAGTGTTTTTGAGAATTCCGATGGAAATGTATAGAATAACATTTAGGCAATAACTTCTGCATCCTTCTGAATAGTGATATTAAAAAAGAAAAAAAAAAAAAAAGCTGCTGAGCTGGGAGGGAGAGTTGGACTTTTTTATAAGTGCACTACAGCATTAAAGTTGCCTACTATGTAAAATATTACCCCTTCTGCTTTATTTCCATTGCTCCTAAGTCTTTGACAACAAATTGAAACACAGAATATATTCATTTAAATATGCCTCCTGTTTGTGTGGACGTGTGAATGTACAGTATGTGTGTATAATATATAAACTATTATATGTAAACAATTCATTTACAACATCGAGCTGTACCAGTACCTCTTTTTGGGCTAATTTTGGTGCTAAAAATTGAAATGGCCAAGGAGGAAACACTTGAGTTAATATTTAGAATAACTGAAGCGATAACCAGTAAATGCAGGTTTACAGTTCACTGCTGTGTTAAGGAAAAAAAAAAAAAAAAAAAAGTGTGTGAAGGGTTTGGATTTACGGTTGTGAACATTATTAGTCCTGTTTTCTAAGTAGATCTCATGAGATTATTAAAAATTCACTTTTACTGAGTAAGTCTTGCATTATATTTTGCCCACCTATTTATTATTTAAGTCTGAATCAAATTTTAAAAAAATGTAGTTGACTTGTGCATTAAAATTTGGGTAAACGCTTCCATTCTTCTGCTTCTGCTAAACTACTGAAATTGTATCTTTGTCCTTTCGGCTTATGAGTATTGATTGCAGCTGAGAACACTTCCCTGTCGTTCCACCGTTCCTCTGCAGGGTGAGGCAGCCTAAGAGGACGTGCTAAACGCTGACTCGTGGCTTTTTCTTTCAGACCGAGTTCTCCGCGTTAGACTAGGTGAGACTGACACAAGCACAGAAGGACTCTGAAATAACACGCGCGTCCTGACGGGGGTTGCCCCATCCGAGGCGGTGCCGCTGCCCGGGGGGCAGGGCTGTCCTGCGCGCTGGGCACGCACAGTGCTGAACCCCAACGGGGGGGGTCAGATCGGCTGCCGGTCCCCTCGGTTGTAACCTCCAGCTTGCTAAACTACACAGGCAGTAGCAGTTAAAACTTGCCCTTGCAGCTCCCTTCCAGCCTGCTTCCACTCGGCGCTGGTTGCGTTGCCTTCGAGTCGTGTCTCCAGGTTCTGGTGCAGAGGGAGTCCACTGTCGCTCTTTTCAGGTGCGGTGTGGAAACCTGCCCTTGGTGAACTCTGTGATGGCCAGCTAGATTTCCGTAGGACGTGAAGCTACTCGGGGATGGTCCCCACTTTTTAACCATCACTGTGGTGAGCTGGATTTGATGTTGCAAACTCAAATGAAGAGATTTCTTCGTGCTTTGTTTCCTACTGATACTTGGTTTATTTCATCAAGGACTTGTAGATAACATCCTGCATTATCTCCTTGACTTTTTGTATTAATGTTTTACGGTTATATTTCAGTGAAGCACTTAAGCATGTATTTAACATGTGCTTTAAACTGGAGCCTAAATTTGCATTTTAAATTTGCAGTGAGCTAATAGTTATTCATAGTACACAGTTCAGATTCGACCCAAGGTGAAAATGCAAAATCCTTAGTATTTTGCAAGTTAGTTCTTGTGATCTGTGGTCTGTGAAGACAGCAGACTTCCTCTCTTTCCCCCTAAGCCTTCATATCGATTATGCTAGCTTAAAGGGTAATCATAGTTGTTAAATGTAGTAAATATTCCTGAATTTGCATTTTTATTTTCTGTATATTATGTATCATGCCATGGCTTGAGAACTCCAGGTGCTACCAGAGTTCACTTGGCTTTCAGTGCTCTGCCTGTGCCTGTGCTGCTCAGTAGGGTTTTTTCCATGAAAACTTCATTTTGTAATAGCAATAAGACATTTCAGGGCAGTCATTGTGCTTTCTCAGGTGAATAGTCACCTGTCCTTTCACTTCCTACGTTTTAAGCACTCCTCCAAATGTATTTTTTTCACCCGACGGTGCACTTTTGTTGTCTGAACTGAAAAAATGTTCTGATAAATGATGTAAATGTGTATTTGATGGAAGTTCCAAAAGGTTTCACATTAAATGTTTTCTGAAATACTGTCTTCCTACTTCACCTGTTAAGTATGTAATTGTTTCCAAAAAGTGCACCAGTATCATAATTTGGATATTTAAAGTTTGTTCTTAACTATTTTTCTTAGTGTTCTCAACAGGTTCTTTCAGAGTAAATCTGTATTTGAAGTATTAAAAAACATTTACTTACTGTAATTGGAAACAGATTTTTAACAGCGTCCTTCCCAAATGCCTTGTAAAATTATCAAGTTGCAAGAATATACCCTTGTTTCTTTAGCATACTGTACACTCGCTGGCCAAGCCTCTAGGAGTTGCCTGGAAAGGAAAACAGCTTTCTTCAGTTCTCCAAACCAAAGACGAGCTTCTTCCCGAGCACAGGCCGAGCACACTTCTTCGTATTCCTTGGCGATCCGTGTAGGTTTATCAGCACTGCTGGTGATGTGACTCTGCAGAACTACAACTGTTGGTTTTTTTTTTTTTTTTTTCCTCTGCTTAAGAGACAATTTTTTAAAATAATTGGAGGCCAGTGTGCGGTGAGGAGGTAGCAGCAGGCCTGGGCCCTTTGAGATGCACGTCCAGCAACCGCGGAGTGGGTTTATGTGACGGGACGCTGGTGTCCTGGAGTGTGTGGTCCAAACAGCGTGCTGGGGGGTTGTTTGCAACAGGCTTGTGCCTAAAGGTTTGCATTGCTAAAACCTGTCTCATCCAGCCATAAAGATGTCTTTTGGTTGCTGGGTCTGGCAGGGAAAAATGTCTTAGCATTTGGCTTGCAGGGGGTTGACTGCTTTAAACTGTTTAAAGATCTGTACGTTAAAAAAAAAATGTGAACACCGAGCAGGAGCAAACAAGTTCAGAAAAACTTCCTCATGCAAACCTTCCCTTTACTTAGGCTTTCTAAAACACTCCAGTCTATTTGACCTCTTTACAATGTCTAAGGTCTTTGACCACATTGAGAAGAAGTAGAGAGAGGTGGGTTAGAGGAACGGCTAATCTTGCTGGTCTAAGTGCTTTGCACACTGCTTTTATTCAAGCTACAGCATCTGGTCCAATCTTTGTGGGTTCAGAGATTTTTGTAGTAGAGATTTGGGCAAGATTCACCTTTTGTATTACAGTGAAATTTCAAGATCAAATATAGTGAGGTGCTGGATCCCAGATTTTTTTAATTGCAGTATTTTTTTTGTCAAGATAAATCAGAATGTTTTAAAAAAAAATCTGAAATTAGTATCCACATGTTTATGTTAAAAAAAAATTAAGTCAGAGGTTCAGCAGGTCCTAATCATTAGGAAAGATTGTACCGGATCTGAAACGTAAAGAGAGGTGTCTCCCATTCAGTTAAAAGCTCCGACACCCACGGGCCTGTTGGGATAATGTGTAGAGACTTTTAACGAGCGCGTCCTGCAGCCGCTGCGTCGTAGCCGCCGTTGTGGATTGCAGTTCCGTCGGGACCAGCCGGCAGCCCCGCTCGCTCCGCCGCGGCCCAGCCGGGAGCAGCAGCACGCACCCGGCCGCTTTGGGGTGACGCCTGCTTGCTCGTGCTGGTTTGGGGTCCCGAAGAGCTCGGGCACCGGGCTGGGTGAGGGCAGAGGCCACCCGTGAGCTGGCCGTGGTCTCGGTGTCTCCGGGGTGGGGTGGTTGGGTGTTCCTTGCTGGGCACCCCCTGATCAGCTGTCCGAGACTGTGTCTTTTCTTAGTAGCACAAAGAGTTAAATATTTAACGAATCTCTGTAGTAGATGTTGTTTCTACTATTTGGGGGGGGGGTTCATACTAATGCAAAATTTTTGTTTTCTAATTCACATTCCAGATGTTTAGGAAATAGTAAATACAGTTTTGGGAAGCTGATCCCACTGTAGATTAACACTGAATTTGAGACATGTAGGTTTGCCATTTCCCATATTTCCAACTGTCAATGCAATCTCATCTCTAAGTTTTCATAGTAAAGCCCTGGAGCTTTCCTGTAAGGATAGGCTCATGTTACTGTAGATCACTGATGCCAATTAAACCCCTGACCTGATATTATGATGAAGTGTGGTTGTGAAAATTCTACCTTTAACTGGAATTTTTCCCTCCGGTAGCAGTGAGTTGCTGCATTGATTTCACCACTAACCATTACTTCATTGCTTCAGAGGAGAGATTTATCCAGCAGGAAGGGGGGTAAGCTTTGGATAAAAGCTAAACCTAGTGCAATTAATAAGAATTTTTTTTAAAGTTGCCTCCTTCATACCAAAGGCCCATCAGTGTCCTGCATTGCAGAGGCAGTAAGTGATTAGAGAAATCCAAGAAGCACAAGACAGATAGAATAATTGTTCTGTGTGTGTGTGTGTGTGCTCCTTACTTCTGACAAGAGCAGAAAAAAGCTAACCTTTTATCCAAATAAGTTAACTTGGTTTTCAGGTTCCTGTTTCGGTTGGTCTGTTCTTCATGTACTACCAGGTCCTGCCTCCAAGCAAAGGGGCTGGATAAAATGAGCAAAACCATGGAGGAGCAGTCTCTTCACCCAGTGTTTCTGAAGTTGCAATAGTATGGTATTGGAAGCGAAAGAATTTGAAAGACCCGTTCAAAAAACTGGTCTTTCTTAGCCTTCTAAGTAGATTTTAACCTTTGGTACAAGCAGTGGGCTCTCGTTCCAGCAGTAACTGAAGGCAGAAGCTGTGTCGGTAACCGCGCTGTGGACCCTGCAAGTGTCTGTGCGCAGAAGCCGTGCTCGGGGCGTGCACTGGCCGTTGTTGGGAGCTCACCTACGGGTGCCGTTAACACCGTGCAGGGGTTGTGGCTTAGCAGGTAAGATATTTATTGCAAGAGAAAAAAAAAAAAAAATGCTATTGCTTGGTTTTTGCTTACGTTTGTTGAGCACTTGGAACTGTGTGTTCTGAGGCTCAGATGTAAAATTCATGCAGAGTGGCCATGGTTATGGTTGCTGTGGGAACCACAGCATTGAATTTCAAGGCACAGAAATGTTGCAGTTCTCATCCCATTAATACCCTTATGGTATCGTTTAATAATACCCATATGAAATTCAGGGCATAAACCCAAAATATTCATACAGTTCATGTTTCCTCGTAGTTGTGCATCACACTGAATGTATTAGGTGAATAATACCAGATATTGAAATACCTCACCGTGAAAATAGTTGTGTTAAAACATACAGGGATGCAAAATCAGAAAGTAAATTGCTACTGGTGTTATAATTGCGTGGTTTTCAGTCATTTGCTTATCTCAAGGTAAAGACCTGTTTGTTTGGAGGTGTCTTTTAGACCTCAGCTCGGCGTGAGCGCTGTAACCAACTACAAAAGAGCAGTCTTCCTAAGCACGGAATTATTTCCCCCCCCCAGCTTACCCAGCCAAAAAGCATGCAATAAGTGCTTTCACACACGTTTCCACCTAGATGGGAAAACCACCAGCCCGATGGGAACTTGGAGACCCAGGAAAGCGTGTGTTTTAATTGTCCTGTGTCTGCAGCGCCCCAAAGGAGCGGGGCTGGTGGCGCGGGGGTGCCTGCTGAAAACCCAGAGGCTGCCTGGGGGGGT